TTGTAATAAATTTTTTTGGATTTAGTATTTGTTTGGTATTAGAAATATGTGTAGCATATTTTCCAAACAAATAATTATTTAAAGTGTGTAAATATTCCTTGAATAAAACATACGTTGTGTTTGTGTTTTATTTAAAAAGAACGCTAAAAATAAACCAATGAGAAGTGCACTGAGATTAATTAATACTAATATAAACAAAGTGTTTTGTTACTATGGAAATGCTGACTTCAAAAGGTATATAAAGAAGCACAGGCCGACAAACTGGCAGAGTAAATAAAAATCATTTTTAACATAGAAGATTGAATAAAATACTTTTTATTGAAGAATTAAAACGGCCTTTTTTAGTTCGTTTCTTAGTAAGTCTAACCCGGCAAATTTAAATTTCGAATTTTCCAGAGCAGTTTTTGTACAAATGGAGCACTACAAGCTCCATTAATCAGATTTTGGTTTCTGTTACTTCTACATCCGGAAAAAAAAATAAAAACTAATTTCCCATGTTAATTTCTCATATTCAAGCCTGCCTGAGACACCCGGTATATTTGTTCACCACACCAATTAGTAATAGATAAGTGGATCATTTTTTAGGTAGGGATAAGTGGATTTTTTTTAGGTAGGGCTAAGTGGTATTTTTTATTGACAGTCGACAAAAATTTAAAAAAATATTTAACTTAAAAATTTTTGCAAATTTCTTTTATTTTTAAATCATTATAGTCATTTATAATCTTAAAATTAATTGGATAATTACCTTCCAATTTATAAAGGTGCGCCAGAACCCGCGCCCCAGAGAAAATTTTCAAGTAAGGTAAGATACCAGGAACATGAAAGAAATGTTTAAAAAATTCTATCTGGCAAAAAATTTTGACATTTATTTTTTGACATTTGACATTTTTTATGTCTATTAAATGATACTCATGATCTTGTATATGTTTTTTTTACAATTATTTAGTAAAGGGACAAAAATTTTGCCAATAAAAGCCACAAATAACATTGAACAGAGTTACAATTTAGGATACAGCTTCCTCGTTTCCTCTACTAGTAACCTGTAGCAAAAAAAAACTTGAAAAGTATTTTTTCAACAGAAATAAATAGAGTCAAAGTGCAAACTTTAAACGCACATAACTTCGAAATTTTTATAGATAAATTTTTTTAACATTTTTGCATGTTCCTGGTATCTTACTTTATATGGCAGTTTTCTCTTGGGCGCGAGTTCTGTCGCACCCTGTATAAATAACAATGTTTTCATTAACACCTTGTATCTTTTAAGAGAACATTTTGTTACTAAGATGTAGTAGGTTTATTGTTTCGTTTTGAACTAAAAAAGCTTTAGTATTTTTTTTCCACCTAAGGAAACAATAAAAATAACAATAATATTGCATCAAGCAAATTTTCTAAGCTTTAAAACTCTTAAATAAAAATAAAGTTTTGAAATAGAAAATAAATCATCTACTCGTAGTTGCACATCAGCACGTATACTTAGTAATTAGAAATACTTTCAAGAAATTAGTTAATTTTACTTTTCTTATGAACCATAACCGACATTGAGACGTTTTGAAAATAAATAAAAGACAATACACAGTACCGAGTAAATATTACCAACGTTCATTAAAGTTATATGAACCTTTGCGAAAGTGGTAAGATGTTCTTGACACAAATTAAGAGTTCAATTACAGGAGAAATTTCATGATCGGAAATCAAGTCCCGCCTCGTCTTCACCTAGTGACGAAGATTACCCAGTTTCTGGTCTTAACAATGGACAAGGAAAGCAACAAAAAGCACACATTCACTTGAGTGACGTTGGTAAAAAAAGCATTCCTTTGAAGAAAGATAGAAGAAACTACGAATAGCAAGTACCTTTGGCGGCTTCAAGTTCAATGTTATATAGCTGTCGGAAGAAAGTTATACTTGCATTTCGATGGTGTATGTTTTGCCGTTCGTTGCAAATTATCAGTCTGGCATAAGTGTGCATTTTTTACAAGTGTGTTTATCTTAACTGTGAGTACTATCTATTAGTATTAAATTATTTAAAAAAATAAACGATCAGTTTTAATATTATTTTTATTATTTTTGAAACAACATTTTTTTTATATAAAATAGTCTTAAGAAATGTTTTAAATCATAAGCTAGTTTGATCCTTTTTTATAACGGGATAAATGAAAATTAATTTTGGAATAAAACATTTAAACTGCTTGTAATATTTTGTTTGCATTTTTTTTGGACATGTTAAATTTGACACCTCGTGCTATTAAAAAAATACTTTTAGCCTTTTTGTACCAAAATTTCATTGCAATCTGAAAAACTGTTTTTAAAATATTTAGTTAGATCTTTACTTACCAGTGACCCTGTATAATGTAAAATTATGCAAATTTGTAATTTGCATTTACAAATTTAAAAGTAAAAACATACCTATTTGATAATTATTTAAAAAAAAAGATAGCAATATTGGGAATATTTTAGGTTGTTAAAAATGAATTTGTATTTTCAACATAAAAATATTTATTGCTTAAACAAATCCTAATTTAACCACTGTGTGCACTTATTTTTAAAACATTTTAAAAATAAAAGCCAGATTTAAAACATCTCATTGAAATTCAGGAGATTTGTGGTCCTATTTCCATTAGTTAAAAACGTTCAAATAAAATTTAAATATTTTATTTTCTATATTCACTAAAATTATAAATTTTGAAAACATTAATACAGTGCTTAATTGTAAACAGAAATAAACCATTATTTATTATCAGATTATCACTGTTTTCAAGGTTGTATGTGAACTTAAGGCGACATTAGGTCAATTTTTTTAATAACTGATAATAGTTTACAATAGCTATGAAAACAACAAAAGTTTTAAACTATAAAACTTGTTATAAAAAAAATTTGTCAAAATATTGCCAAATTTGACAAAATACCAAGACATATATTTTATGTAAGTAGGTACTTATAAAATACGTTGTGATTGACGACGTATTTTATAGAAAAGCATATATTAACAGCAACATACGAAATAAAAAATAAATAAAAAATATATACAGGCTCTCTAAAACAAAAACGTTAAAAGATTTCGGGGTGTGATTCCTTAAATTAATATAAGAAAAAGTTGCTCTGGACTTATGTCCGAAAATGCTTTCTAAGGGAGCTAAAAAACTTCTAAAAATTGCGAGCAAAAGGCTGAGTAACTCGTTGAGATAAATAATTTTCAAAAATTTGCATCCGGGGTCTTGCTTTAGAAAACGTTTTTTGAAAAATTTGAATTTGTTACAAATTTTCTTTTCAAAAAATTTATGTTATATTATTTTTAAAATCCACGTAGTAAGTTTTTTTAACAGACTGGATTATAAAAAACGCCCCAAGCAATAACTTCATTATTTCTAAAAAATATTTCAATACTTGTTTTATTTTGAATTTGAACGTCAATCAATTTTATCGTTTTAGATAAAATGTATGCAAATGTTTTTCTTTTCACAGCATATTTCACTTACTTTTCAAATTTTCTAAAAACAAAAGTTAGTGATAAATAATAAATAGTGTTCCACAATATACATTGTGTTCAGGTAAAACAGGTAACAGCATTGATTGCGCATCTGTGCCTAAAAATAGATAACAATAAATTGTGCAACGTTGTTTCAAAAAGTATTGATTGTATTATTTTTAAAAATAGTAGAGGCTGAGGCGTTTTTGTAATCGAGCTTATATAAGTTTGGGTTATTGTTATCGCAGGCACATTGGAATTTGTTTATAGGTTGAAAAATTTGAAAAAAAAATATTTATTTCTGGCAGGGTAATTATGAATAAGTAAAGAGTGAATAGTTGCTAGCACCATTTATAAACGCTAACAAATTCTTAAAAATGTGATGTTTTATTCATTTAAGTATCAAAGTTGCTAATTGAAAACCTTCAAAAATAATTAAATCTTCTTGCAAAATTTATTAGCCTCTTCAAATTTTTATACATAATCGAATCATTTACCTACTTACGATTTATGAATATTACCCATTGTTCTTTTATCACATCTTGCAGTCTATATTAATGTGGCTACAACGGGCACTTTAATTTTCAAATTGTCAGTAAATCACTCATTTGCTCTTTTCTAGATAGTTAAAAAAAATTCTGGCAATACTTTCTTCGTGAACATAAACGTGAAATAAAGAAAACATTTTCAGACAGTGAGTATTTTTTACGTAATTTATATTTTGTTTGTACTTATTTTTTATGCTTCATTTTTGGTTTTAATTTTATTTTAAAATAAAAAATAATCTTCACAACACTAGAATTACTAGAAAAGAATCTTTTTTAAAAATTCAAAACCATGTCAAAAATAATCTTAGTGTAAATTTGTATTCAACTTTTGTAAAAATTGCTCATATTGAAAAAGATAGAGTTATAAGTAAAATTTTTTGAAACAGTTTCTTTCAAGTGAAGTGAAGAAAGGAATGTTAAAATACTATACTTTTTACTTAAACTGTGAAAAAACTGATGGCTAGAACACCAAAAAATAATTAGTTTCGATTTTTTTGTGTACAAAGTTTACCATATAATGACAATTCATAATTTATGTTTTTTGTTTATAATTGACACTTTGAAAAGATCATTGTAGTTAAATAAAATTTTCTTAATATCTAATTTATTAATCTTAAAACAATACCTATTTAAAACTGAAAGTTGTTTGATATTAATTGTGAAATGAAAATTAAAGTATAAATATAAATTTTTTAATTAAGTGGTAAGAGTAATTTACACAGCACATTAGAGTTTGCTTCATTGTGTTTCAAGGAATGTGTTTAATAGGAGAAAATTGTAAAACAGCCGTAAATTTTCTAAAATTGAGATTTATTTGGCAAGTTAAAAAAAGTTTTTATATATAAGACATTGAAGTCTTTAAAAATAAAATTTGGTAAAACCAAGTCATGAAAACATAAAAAATAAACAAAATAGCATTTGCTATTTCCCTTTTAAATTAGAATAACAAATTTGTTTTTTTTTGTTAATGTTATGATAACTCTAAGTACTATTTTCAAGCTTTTACATGCTTATAAAACCACAATAAAAGAAAGTCTGCACTAATAACAGAAAGATACAAACAGTAGACAAGTATAAAATAATTAAGGCTGCTTTAATTTGGAAAGTATACAATGGCAAATTTAACTACAGCCTCTAAACTAATCAGAAAAACTGGGTGCGAGACTTTCTTCATCTGGTGACCTCCTTCGCCGTGTATCAAAAATAATGTGTAGCGTGTACCATTCATCTAAAAGGAAGTAAGATTGGCACACATTTTTGCATTTACATTTACAAATCTATGTCAGTGAATACTTTTTGGTTCAATAGACACTTGACACTTTTTTTTTAAATCAACAATTTGAACAACAATTATTTAATTTTTTAGAACGATGGCTCCGAATTTGCTAGGAAATTCAGCGTTATTTCTGGCCGAAACTAATTCAGCTGAACCAGTACAGATAATTAGTAAACCAGGACTGCAAGATGTATTGCCGCCAGTAAAACCCCAAATTTCAAGCAGATTGTCTGTGCCCCAATACAGATGGCAGATCGTATGGAGAAATGTTTTCATTTTTATATACTTGCATATTGCTGGTATTTATGGGTTATATTATGCTATTGCTCAAGCACAATGGAAAACTCTTCTGTGGGGTAAGTATTCTTTGTTCAAGTAATAATTTATAAATTGGAGCATATTGACGCAAATAGAGGGAAAATTGTGTTTTGACACAAATCTTAAACCATTGTTGTAGTAAATTTAAATTAAATTAAAATTATTAAACCAATTTTTATTCTTAAAATTAACTGGAATTGAATGAAATGAATCTTTTGACATAAACAAACTCCTTGATACTAATTTTTACTTTTACAATTGCATTTGAATGAACTCAATGTAGAGTGTTTCAGAACTTGCGCCACAGAGAAAAAATTCAAATAACATAAGATACCAGGTACATGAAAAAAAATGTATAAAAATTCTATCTGTCAAAAATTTTGACATGTTTTTTGACATTTGACCTTTTTTATGTCTATTTAGTGTTATCTACTGATGATTTTGTATACATTTTTTTATAATTATTCAGTAAAAGTACAAAAATTTTGCCAATATGAGCCACAAAATAACGTTAAACATATTTACAATTTGGGATACAGCTTTCTTGTTTCCTCTTCTAATAGCCTGTAGCAAAAAAACTGGAAAAATTATTTTTCTAACAGAAATAAATAGAGTCAAAGTGCAAAATTTAAACTCCCAGAATTCCAAAATTTTTATAAGTAGAATTTCTTTAACATTATTTCTATCTTCTCTTACATTTTTCTCTAGGCCGCGAGTTCTGAAACCCCTGTATTTTGACAAGGTTACGATTTTCTTAGTTATCATTAATTTAAACTGTTGGAAGAAAAGTTTTGTATGCATTTCTTTCCAGAGAAATGCTCGGCTTCCTTCAGTCGCCTCTTGCATTACATTCTCAAGATTAAATTTATTCTCTTATTTGACGAGTTTGAGTGTAAATCGGACGCTTAATTTCACGAGTAGATTTTTAAACCAGGTCAACACTCGTGGTTTATCATCCACGAGGTGGAATAAACGACCCGATTTACACAAAGACGAGTTGAATACAACATTTTCTTCTTCGAATTAAACTCTACAAAGCTTATTTGTTTATTTTGGTCCATACTATTACCTTCTTAAATATTTTACGATCATTTTAACGCCCTGTATACAGAGTAATTTTTTAAAACGAGCCACCCTGGATATTATAAAATAAACAACAATAAAAAAATCTCGAGACAGATCAATTTTTACTTACAGGGGAAAACTTTTTAGTATACCTTTAAAAATTGTAACAATGGTAATAATGGTAATAACAATGGTAATAATAAAAAATAATAATGGTATCACCCTCTTTGTGATACTTCAAATGAAAGGTATTTTGTCCAGGAAGTCGACTATGTGTTTTGGTTGAGCGTTGAGTATTTTTTGTTTATGTTACGCAAAACAAGATCTAGCAGAACAAATTACTATAAAAGTGCCAGAATAGTTCTGAAACGTTATCTGCGTTGATTTCTTTAGTCTTATACTCAGTGTGTACTAAAAATAAGTTTAGTACAATTTTTTTCTTTAATTGTGACAAAACAAGCTAGTTAGTGTCTAATAATTTTTTTTAGGTACTGTAAATATATTATATTATTAATTCTTGCGTTGTTGTTTATCTGTAATCTATTCATATCGTATATTTGTTTCTAGACTTGATTGTATTTGTCAAAACTAAATCACTAATAAGGTGTCAGTATTCACGAAATTACATTCACTCCCAATTGTAAATTTATTTATTTTGGGGTACCGGTTTCGGCCATTTAGCCTTCATGAGCCCTAGGTTCCACTCAATCACACATAAAATATTTGAAAAAAATAAAATAACAATTTGGTATAAAAGATCTTAGTTTGTTTACTCTTGTTAGACAGCTGTTATATGTCTAATTTCTGTTTGGCCTAATTGCCGAAACCGGTACCCCGAAATAAATAAATTTACAATTGGGAGTGAATTTCAATTAGTGAATACTGACACCTAACTAGATTGTTCCAATTTGAGGTAGTTAACCTAAATCACTAATGTTTGATACACCCTGTAGACCTACTGAATTTAAAATACATTTTTGAAGGAGACCTGTCTTGATTTTGATGAACTACGTTGTGTAAATTTGGACTTTCCTATAATTGCCAGTTTAAAAAAAATACTGATAAGAAAAGTGAATATTACTCACTAGTTACAGTTAGCAATAAAAGCCGCTTTTAAAAAATAAACAAAAACAATTAAATTGTTATTTATCTAAATTATGTATGTAGTATAAGTTAGATAATGGTTATTTATGAACTAAAAGCATAGTTCACAGGCCTGTTGTAGCTCCATATTCCGGCCGAGAAGTCATAATAATATTTAATGACCTCTGTGGCACATTGCTTTTACGCTTGGTCCATAGTTTTAGTATTAAATAATACAAGTTATAAAATTTTTTGCTATTAAGTTTAAACAAGTTTAAACGAGCAAATAAAAAAAAATTGAATATACAATGTATCCTCAGATAGGTGAAACGACTCTTGTAAAAGATAAGAAATTCTCGATTAAAATTTTTATTTTTTGTGGTTTAGCCCTGTATGGTTAAAGACTAATTTGTAACATAATTTTAGCTTTGAAAAATCAAGTGTGCCTTAGAAATTTTCAAAAAAACTTTTTTCTATGGAATTAAGTGCCTTTTATGTAGCAAATAAGACAAAAAGTTATTAAGAAATGTTATTAAACATCAACATCTAGACCTCTATACCACATTTCAAAATCATCGGCCAAGTTATTTTTTTATGTTTATTTGACAAATTATTTTTTTTAATTTTTAACAATTTTTTTACTATGAATAAAAACACAAAATTTACAAAAGATATTAAAAATTGTAAACATTTTTTATATTTACAAATTTTTACAAAATTAAAAAATCATAGTTGGGCGACGATTTTGAAACTTGGTATAAGGGCCTAGTTGTTGATTCTAAACAACTTTTCTTAATATTTTTTCGTCGTATTTGCCACATAAAAGACACTTTACCAAAAATTAAGATGCTATGGTTTAAAGAAACCACGATGCAAGTGAAGCTTTTTTTCTGATCAACACACATCAATACATCAATCCACTGATCAAAACACACAAATACCGAGGGGCACTTGCACGAATGAGTAAGAATATCAATGCTACACGCTCAGCTGATGCAAGCCATGGGCGCCGCCATATTGGCTTTGGCTGCTCTGCCGAGCGCCTTTCACTTTACCCCTACTTCGCGGCCGGCTGTAATGCGACATGCGATAGATGGACGAAAAAATTTGGTAGGCGATGGAATAAAAGTTTCACTTTAAAAAATTCCAGGGCATACTAGATTTTATAAAACTAAAATTATATTTGAAATTACTCTTTAACCAAGCAGAGCTAAACCCCAAAAAATGAAAATTTAAATTGTGAATTTTTTAAGAGTCGTTTCACCTATTCGGGCACACTGTACAGCTATTTCACCACAAATTTTTTAAAACATCTTCTGTCTTGTGAAGAAAGTCGACTATAATATCCAGTGGAAACTTGTCTCAATAGTAATTGCTAATTTATAAATTAATTAAAAAATATTGAAGAAACTTTTCACACTACTCTGTTTATATATAGAAGAAAGTTTCGTTTGACAATATAAGTTGTAGTATAAAAATTATATTAGCATAAATCGATAACAGTTTTTTTTTTTTTACTATAATAACAAGAAATTCATTGCAGGATATTTTATTCTTCTCACATCAGGAATTGGCGTCACAGCAGGAGCTCACAGATTATGGGCCCATCGCACATACAAGGCAAAACTGCCTTTACGAATTTATTTGGCTTTTTGCCAAACTGTCGCTTTGCAAAATCACATCTACGAATGGGTACGAGACCATCGCGTCCATCACAAATTCACAGACACAGACGCTGATCCTCATAACTCCAACCGAGGATTCTTTTTCTCACACATGGGCTGGTTGCTTGTTAAAAAACACAAGGATGTCTTCGTCAAGGGAAAAACTGTAGATATGAGCGATGTGGCGGCTGATCCCGTGGTACGATTTCAAAGAAAGTAAGTAAATTCTTACAAGAGACATCATATTCATGCATGACTGACTTTCACGTTGCATACAAGCTGAAATATGTTTTTATAAGTAATATTTTTCGTTCTTATCTTAATATTGTCTAATTTCACTTTCAATTAATTAATTATAATTATAGAATAAATTGCCATTAAAAATTAAAGTCGTTTCGTGGCGTTTTAGTATACAGATGTGATTTTATTAATTAGTGCAATTAACTTAATAAATTATTATTAGTCAATGAGTTCACTTACACGTCTTCTATTTCACTTTCTGTAATGCACTCAAAATTGTTAAAACATAGAAAACGTATGGTAAATGTGTGCCTAAAGCTTTCTAGTTCAATCCGTTTAACTAAAAGTAAAATTTCTCTTTCGTTCGTAAGAGGTTTAATTGAATTTTAAATTATTTTTTTATACCTTTTCTTTCACATTTTCAGTATTTCGTAACACTATACTATTTCCGGTTAAACCCCACATGAGAAGTATTGAGTCTATTGAGAATTCTGACCGTAACCATAATCGGGTCCCTGCTCAATAAAAATATTTTCAAGATTGCAGCATTTCCGGTTGTACCGGAAGTGGGTATCACTTTGCTATTTTAAATAAAAAGCAATGATTTTATTGCGTTTTTAGATTCCCCGAATTATTCTTTAAAAGTTATTATTGACCTTCCCTATACCTAAGTTAAGCCATTTCTGATTTTTTTTGAAAATTTTTGAATTTCTCTTCAAAAATCAATAACTTTGTAATTTTTAACTATTATAAAATCGTATTTGGGCATTTAACAGAGAAAGGTCCGATTTTTTCGTAGTGGATTTATAATTAAAAACCCCAAAATTTAACGTTACGTTTAGGAAGCTCCAAATACTCATAAGTCATAACTCATTTTTTTAAAATAAAACACCCTAATTTGTTCTCTACTAAATGGAAAAGAATTGAATTCTCTTTCAATCTGCATTAATATTCCCTATACTTATAAATTAATGGTTTTCAAGTTATAGTAACGATTTTGATATTGGGAGAAATTCATTAATCATAGCTACTTTAGTATAGATTGCTATCGAAATTGAAAAAAAAACGAAAATAAAAGTTATTCAAATTTATATTAAATGAATTTAGTTTGTATTTAAGTATACGAAAAAAATAACACAATTGTGAAAAAAAAACGTGACGATTTTTCAGTGAAAAATATTTTCATTGCAAACTATGCGAAAACTACTATGGAAAGTAGGTAACAAATTTTTTCCATTCTAAAAAAGTCAAGATAACTTGGAAATTATCAAACTTATAAAGAATGTCCAGATGGATGGAGAATTAGATTTTTCTCCATTTAGTTTTTTTTTTAATTGAAGGAAAATAGAAAAATTTGATGTTTTCCAAACGTACCTCAAATTTTGGGAGGTTTCTTAATTATTTTTTTCATTATGTATACACCGAAGGATAGATTTAACCTTTTCTTTCATTCACCAAAATAGTATTTCAAAATAATTAAAAATGCCAATTATTCATTTTTAAAGAAAAAGATGCAGTTCCATTTCGGAAATGATTTTTTTTATACACATCTTGAGATGGAAACAGAGTTACTCACTTTATGAGTGTCATCACGTTCTGGTAAACCCCAAATGGCTTGCTACCGAGCTTAAACCCATAAAAATATCCTAAACAATTCTCCTCTTAATACAATGAAGTGCAAAATTTTAACCTCCGGTGTTGGATTTCGACATATTTATAGTAAAAATATTTAAGTCCCGCTAGGTTTGATTTAAAAAAAACTAATAAAAGTACTTGACTTTGTTTTCAAATAATTTTGGATCTACTTTATCATTGTCAGAACTTTCAATACTTCTAATCTGAAAGGGGTGCATTTTTAATGAGGTTGTATTGAAAAAACGTGAAAGAACTCTTTTTGTGAAAAACTATGGAATTTAAAATTTTGTTGCTGAAAGTGGCAAGAATATATGGTTAGAGTTTTTTATCCTAACCCCCATTTTCAACTTAATTTGATAATTTTTTGGCCCATTTGGGTAAAATTTTACTTGAAAAACGCAAAAATAATTTCGTTTTCGACCCCTAATTTGGGTATTTTAGCAAAATTTTGTTAAAAAATCAGTTTTGACTAAAAATAATAGTACAATTTTTTGCCTAGTTTATTTTTGGGCATGTTTTGATCAAAAACAATTAAGATTTTGTCCAAAAATAAGCAAAAAACGCCATTTCCTATCTAATTAGGAGATTACTCGGCTTACTTGTGCAAAATGTCGCAAAGGAAATGTGCATTTTTAAATGAAAAAGACAAAAATAATGTTATGTTCGACCAAATTTGGTAATCTTTTTACTAAAATTTTTCAAAAACAGTTTTTAACTCAAAAACATGTTAAACGCTTTAAAAAGTGCACTAACTTGATGGTTTTTTTGCTTGTGAATAACATTTTTCGAAAAAAAGTAGATTTTTAGGTCACCAAAATAAATCTAATAAAACAGACCAAAATAAAACACTAATTTGAATCAAATTTAGTGATTTTGAGGCCTATTTTAGGGAAATTTTGCGAAAAAGAAGATTTTAGCTGAAAAACATGTTTTTACTCTCGAAAATGTCAAAAATAGCATAATTATCGATCTAATTTGGTAATTTTTGGACCTTTTTGAACAAAATTTTATACTAAAAAGGTTCAAGGATAATTGAAACGGCAACAATGTATTATCATTGTCGATCTAATTTGGTAAGTTTTGATCTGTTTTAGCAAAAAAAAAACTCAGTTTAGGCAAATAATTTTTCATCCCAACTTAAGACGCCCATGATTAAAAAATTTGACATAAAGATAATCAACTGTACCAAATTTTGTAATTTTATCTAAACTGATTTCTGAAATATTGGACAAAATCCATTAATACATGCACCCCTTTCAGAGTGTAGCTCTCTTATATAGTATTTTTCAATACATGTTCATAGAAAACTTTTATCTTAAAATTTAATATTCTATCACCTGTTTAAATTTGTAACAATAAAAATGAAACACCCCGTATAGATTCACTGTGACTTTTAATACGTTTTAATATGTAAAATTTTGCCTATTATATCAAAACCACTCTTTATTTTCAAATTATTTTTTTTTGCAAATATAACATAGGGTCTATGCTACTCGTATATGATGATACTGTCAAACTAGTTCTATTATAACGTTCGGCAATTTTTGATTTTTTTTTAAATTTGTAATTATGTATGTAGAAGGGTTGATTCAAGTGGTGAACGTTTTTATAATCAGAGTATAAATACTTATGTTACCCACGAATAACAAGAAAACGCTTAGTACTACATATTATTCAACAGTGAGTATTTTTAAAATCCACAAATATTTAACTAACTTTTTTTAGATACTACATAATCCTGGCGCCAATCCTAACCTTCGTTTACCCTGCCATCATCCCTTGGTATTTCTGGAACGAAACTCCCACTGTATGTTTCTATAGTGTCGCCATCTTCAGATATATTCTAACCCTTCATGGGACTTGGTTGGTAAATAGTGCAGCTCATATTTGGGGTTACAGACCTTATGACAAGTAAGCTACTTAAATATTTCTTTAAAAAAAAAAACACTTTATTTCAATTTCTAGAAACATAAATGCCACCGAAAACAAGAGCGTTTCTATCATTGCTTTCGGTGAAGGATGGCACAACTACCACCATGTCTTCCCTTGGGATTACAAAGCTGCAGAATTAGGAAATTACAGGATGAATTTTACGACGGCTTTTCTTGATCTGATGTCGAAAATTGGACAAGCTTACGATTTAAAAACTGTGTCGCTTGACATGGTTAATAAGAGAAAGAAGAGAACCGGAAATGATACCGAATTGGTAGCTGAAGAATTGGTTGAAAATGAAGAGAAAGATCACCATCATCATGATGACAGTATCTGGGGATGGGGTGATAAAGATATGAAACAAGATGATATGGATATGGTAGAAGTGCATAACCCGAGGAGGGAGAAAAAAGATTAAAATTGCATGTAGGTACTGTGATGTTTGGTTACCAGTAAGATTTGTTTCTCTTATTATTTATTGTTTTATCTTTAAAGTATACATATTTTAATTTATCTTTTTTGGTGGCTTTATGTGTTAAAGATTGCGCCACTTAGTCGACACTTTATCGAAAAGGTTTTCATATTTAATTAAATTGTTCAAGGTTAGTGAGTCTGTTTCAAGTTGTAGCAAATAGTTGTTACTGTTTTATTTTTGATTAACCTAATATCTGTTATATTTAAGTTATTGTATTTGTTTGTTAAAGTAAATATTAATAAATGCAAGCAGGTTAAGTAGGTAGTTTTGTTCTTTTTCACTTTACGAATTCAACAGTTTTGCACTATTTTTATATTAAATCCACCCAAAATACATGCCTAAGTATCTAAGTTCAAATTTTAAAATGGATTAAAAAAAAGTTCTAAAAGTTTTCCGTGTTGAAAATCACAATCAATTAGGTTTGTATAAACGCACGTACTAACCAAAATTAAAATTGGAGTTAGCAATTGAACTGATTTAAAATTATGTAAATTTATAACGTATAGTCCTAAAGTTTTACTCTTCTAGACAAGAGTAGGATCGATTTTTCTAAACTTTAAAAAAAATCGACGTCGCAATTGTTTCTCATTTCTGACTTCCCATCTCTTATCTTACACTTTTTTGTTCAATGTTGACCAAAACTCGTCAGTTGATCGATCCTGAAGATCAATGTAACGATTGTCTATTTTAGGTACAAAATTTATATTGTTTTTGTTAAGCCAGTTTGTAGCTTCTTTACCATCATGGCATGAATGCACATCAAGCCCAAATATCACACTATCATTGGTATGATGTGTATTTAAAACTTTATCGAGTTTGCAGAAACATTTTTAAATATAAGTGGTTTTTGAAACAACGAATCTTCGATCTAATTTTTGTTGTGAAGGTCTAACTTTGTTTTCAACGGCTTTAATCATTTTTTGGTTCCCCAAAATTTTGTTTCGATCACTTTTGGACACGTTGACACAGGGTATATCCTCTTCACATTCCTTTATGGTCTGATAAATTGTTGTTACAGACATATTTTGTTCTCTATAAAAAGCAACAATTTTACGAAAGTATTCACCCAACTAGATTGTAAATGCTTTAACGAATATGTAGCTTATAAGACATTTTTAAAAACCCGATTAAAACAACTAAACTGCCATAACATAAACAAGTTAATTGTCATATTTTACTTTCAGCAACAACTTTTTTAAACACCATTTGTTATAAATAAAAACCATCTAAAAAAAATCCCAAAACTTTAGAAACCATGTACGTTACGTTTTCACTGAAACTAAAGATCAATATACAGAGTGGAATTTATAACTGAAATAAAAATCATAATTTAAATTTAATCGATATTGTGTAAAAAATCCTGAAAAGGTCGATTTTTATTTTTCCGTGCGATCAAAAAACACAAGTAAGGAGTTTTAGAATTATCATTAGTTAATTACAACACATTCGGTAGCTTATTTTGTTTAACAAAGTTTAACTGTGATTGAAGTTTTGAGAAAATTTGAGAAAAATTCTCATTGCAACATATCATAATTACAACAAAAATATTTAAAGCTTTAAAAATTCATAAAATGAAAGATTTCCTATAATACAGACAGTGGCGTACTGACCAGCGTTCCGTGATTTCCACAAAACACGGGCCCGGGCCTCAAAAAGGTCCGCACGGACCCTTTCCGTTGTCCAATTACATATTTAAGAAAAACCAAAACAATTTTTTATATTAGCTGTTAAAATTAGGTTCTAAACTCTGATAACAAAAAAATTGTTGTCTGCTTGAGCTCTCCATAAAAAAATTGGAGCCTTTCATTTAAAAAATTGACTTATAAGTATTTGACTTTTCTCAAACGTAACGTTAAATTTTGAGTGTTAGTAATAATTTTCTTTAATTATGAATCCATCAAAAGAAAAATCGATCTTTCTCTTTTAAATACCAAAATACGATTTCATAATAGTTAAAAATTGCAGTTAAATAGGTTTTTGAAGAGGAAGGTTCAAATTTAAAAAAATTCTGAAAGTCTAAAAGTCTCAAAAACGACTAGAGAAACAAATAATAAATACAGGTGCGCCAGAACTCGCGCCCCAGAGAAAAATGCCATGTAAAGTAAGATACCAGGAACCTGGATAAAATGTTAAAAAAATTATATCTATAAACATTTTGAAGTTATGAGAGTTTAAATTTTAAACTTTGACTCTATTTATTTATGGTTCGTTCACAATCAAACTTTCATAGATAGATGTTACGCCAAATTAAAAAAAAAAAACACCGTTCATTATGCACATTTAAGAGCCATAATAAAATTCTAAGTTTGTGCACAATTAATAAAATACTTTGATATTGGATGATATCACATATTTATTTCCAAGTAAGAGCAACATTAGTACCCTGAATAATTTACTAAAAGTCATTTAGAACCTTCTGGTTGTCAGGTTATGAGATATCGACTCAAAGTGATGTGATTAGGACCAAATTCAATCTATACAGGTGAGCCAGAACTCGCGCCCCAGAGAAAAATGACTCTATTTATTTCTATTTAAAAAATAATTTTTCAATTTTTTTTCCTACAAGCTATACGGGCTATTAGTGTGACGTCAGCAAGGTACGTGACTGTACCTTTGAAGCTAAACAAATAAAAGTTTATTTCTTGAATCCTGGATGTGTAGGGAGATTGTTTCTAAGGAAATAGTTGCTATGAAATGTGTGTCGTTTCGTAATGGTTTTAACAATTGTGGTCAACATTTCTGTAATTTAATCTGTTCTAACCTCACTTTCTGTGTACGTCAAAAATATGTTTACAGCATTGCCAGAATGTTGCAAACGACAGGAGTGGATAGGTCGTACCAAAACAAAATAAAATATATTAACATTCACATAATGTGTATTTGGCTGAGAATATAAATTATTATTTGTTTACAAGTAAATACAGGGTATTTCACGAGTGATAATGAGCCTAACCACATTTGAACTGCAGCCAGCAATACATTTGCATAGGCTTCATGGATTTTGATTATGAATTTTAAAAGTAATAAAACATAGTTATCGCGTAACTGACACAAAGAAATTGACAAGAAAAGAAACACAGTTTTTAAGGTTATTGTCTATCTACCATTGGAAAACACTTTCAAGCCTTTTTGGAGCTTTTCTATACAGGAAACATTGTCTTTAAAGGGGTTCAACGGCAGAAGCATTTTTTCCAAATTCGCCATAAATGAGAATCGGATCTGTTTTCTCATCGTTCGAATGCATTTTTAAATTTTGCTAATGTCAGTTGTGACATGGTTGTGACAAATAAAATTATCGAAGCAAAGCTATCGTGGATTCATAATTCGGTGTTTCAAACAATGCGATATCTAAAATATCCACGTTAACTTTGCAAATGTATTGTGGGTTGTATTTTCAATTCCGTCAGGGCTCATTATCACTCGTGAAATACTCTGTATAAATATCTAGTAAAAAAAATCTAGTATCAATTTGGTACTCTAGTATCACAACTGGCAACACTGTATGTTTAGCTGCTTAATGTTATTTGTGGTTTTTATTGGCAAAATTGTTGTACCTTAGCTAAATAATTATGAAAAAACATCTACAAGATCATCAGTATCATAAAATAAACAAAAAAAAAGTCAAATGTCAAAAAATAAATGTCAAAATTTTTTGACAGATAGAATTTTTTAACATTCTTTCCATGTTCCTGGTATCTTATCTTACTTGAAATTTTTCTCTGGGGCGCGAGTTCTGACACAGCCTGTATAGTGGTCTTCGACAAAATATTATAAATAATTACATTAAAATTTCAATTATAAGCAACCTTTTATACAGAAATACAATTATGTTAATTGCATAAGCAAGTGGCTAAGTATTTTGAGTTGCATATAATACACCGATAAATAGAAATGAATAATAAATAGTAGTATATCGACTCTCCCAACGAAAACTACAACAAAATTTACAGTTTTGAAAAACATTGCATTGAATCTTTGATTGTTAATAAAAAATTAAGAAACTGTTTAATATTATTGAAAATTGCGTAGGGTCTAAGTTTTGGTAATAATATGTATTGTTTATTCAAAAAAAAATTTAATCGTTTTTGTATTTTGAGCCCTACATAAGCCATCGTAACTAAAAACCAATTTTTATGAGTTACTATAGTTTTCGCTGTGAGATTCGATATGACATTCACACAGTCAAAGAGATAATACAGGGTGTTTCACATAATTTTACGAGGCCTGCGCCTGTAAGATGCAATCAATAATACATATTCCGATACGAACTCGATTACAAATTTTGAAAAATTGGATAATCTTCTCTAGTTTGTTCACCCTTTAAAAAATTACAACGTTTTTTGTTAGTTACTGGTTAAGATAGATAAGCTGGAATCATATTCATGCCGTCTCTTGATAGAACAAATGATAATCGTTTCTGAAAAACTGCAGTTTATGACTATTAATGAAACAGTGACAACTACTGTCATGGGTTTCTAAAAATTAAATAATTAAATGTGTATTTTTTGTATCCAGTGTTTTGTGACTTATGTATATTTGGGTGCGTACATTAGGCGCAAGCCTTGTCAAGTTGTATGAAACATCCTGTTGGCAAACCTTACAATTAGTTAGGAATTATTTTGAATTATTGTATTTCATATCTGAAACAGAACAAATTTAGATAATTCCTCAAACTATATTTTTTTATTACTATTCTCGCATGTACAATTGCAGGCATTAAATTTTGGTAGGTATGTAATGTCATTTCAAAACTTCATTTTCTTGTCAAAAAAATAGTTTCCCTGTGTAATTTTGTCTGTTGTCAACCTTCTTTCAAAAATAAATATAAAGTCAGAACACCACGCCAAAAACTAATTACCTACCTAACAAATATTTTATTGTGTCGCCCCGATATTTCTAACTAACTTTAACAAAGTGAAAAAATTACCATGCTAGAGAGGGGATTTTCTGAAGTTGAGGTAGCTGAGCAGTTGGCTCGTAAGAAGTTCCGTCAATTTCAAGACAACTATTTGACATCCACACGTTCATTTCACAAGACAACATATTACGCAATGACCTTGACTATCAAAATTTAATGTTCGCATTTGTACTTATTTTACTGTTACTCACACTCGTAACCTTTCACCTCGTCGTTTTAAAGTTAAAGCTAACCAACACTGAAAACTTATTTTTCACAACTTTTTCCATATTTTAAATCAAAGAAGTAGGCTTCAGTCAAAAATAATATACTAGAATTTTATTCAGGTACAACAAGTATAATTATTATACATTGACACACTTTATTATAAGCTCAAATTACAGACACAATACAATAATAATACTAACATAACAATAAATAAATTAACTATTTTACATACTGTACAAATTTTCTAATACACCATTTCTGGTCACCTGTTTTTATTTGGGTGACCAGTTTTTTTCCTATAACCACGATTAATGTAAACAATGTGTTCCTCCTTTTCTGTGTCAAAAATATAACTTCTTATTAGCCCAAACAAGGCCATATTGAACGCCATTTGGTTGACCATCGTCACCGCCATTACAACCATTTTGATCCCTGGCAAAATCCAGGGCAAGATCCCCGCCATCAAAAATCCTGGGATTATCATATAGGGCAACATATTGTTCATCGACATCTTCATTTTTCTCTGCATTTCGGTACTATCTTTGGTGTGTAAACGAAGAGCAAAGCTGTCATTACCCTCTTTTGAAAGCTGCATTTCCAACCCATCTACAATTTCAAACTTCCAATCTTTGTCTCTAAACATTTCACTCGTATTTTTCATCCTGACTTTGTGCACACAGTTTTTGTCGATCTCGTCGTTGCACTCGAAACAATGAAAACAACACAAGAATACTAAACACGTGACTAGAAACCAGACATGATGCATTCTGTTGGAGCTCACATGAGGAAATGCCTCGATCTTGTTTGGCGAGAATTCATGCCCCAGATTTTATAGGAAAGAAAGAGAGACTTTGCGGACCGTTTCGGTCTCCTTCATGATCACTCATTCATAAAATTATGCTCTAGGAGGTAACAACTGATGAGTAATTTGGACAGGAATTGAACACAATAAAAGTATGATCGGTTCCTGAAAAGTAAAATTTACTTTCAAAAACTATAAAATTGTGTTTTTCTTTTTCTTTTTATGTCATTACTAATTATGTATAAGTGGATCAATAAACAGCCCAAGGTTTGACAAAAACTATCGGAAAAAGTGGTTAGAAACGAGCCTAACTAAGAAGTAGGTGACTTAGATTAGGTATATCAGAGTATGTCAAATCCCGATTTTATAATAATTATAATTTCTTATAGTAATTTATGGGCGACGTAACGAGATGTTTGTAGTTTTGTTGAAATTACTTATTTTTGCCAATTATTTTAGCAAAAGCTTGAATCTGTATTAATTAAGAAGCTTTTTATTCTATTAACATCATCATTAATAAGTAGGATAACATTAGATTATTTATATGGATAACATTTGAAATTTATTAATAGTTTAACTGTTAAGTGTCATAGTTTTCCTTATAATATTTGGTACAGAACGATTAAAATTTGCAACTGTGTCAATTTATTTCAACAAAACTTAATTTTAATTAATTGTGAAAATTTTTGAAATAAAAATATGTATAGTTTTCTTTTGTAAATTAAGTACCATCGAGTACCATGTTAAAAAACAATTAACTAAAATTTCATAGGACACTACCCTACTAGGTATTTTTGCATCTACTAAGCAATAACTGTATTTTTTAAATATCTTGATATCTTTGATGTTCTGATTTGAAAAGTAAAGACATCAAACATTTATTCAGAATAGTGGTGAGCAAATAGTTATTTCTCCAACTAGTTTTGAAATTCATACTTTTTTAATTAATCAAGCAAATGATGAGTAAAAAAAAGACTTTTAAAACGAGTTGTACACAACATTTTTTTGCATAGTGATAACCCCAAGAACCTCAAAGACCAAAAAGATATCAATTTGATAAATCAAATCGTAATGTATGAACTGTCGCGAGCTCTTTATAACGAAGTCTATATATATAGAAACTATAAAAATAACTATAGAAATATAACTACAGAAATCGTTTAACAAAGTATAACTTTCTATATACGATTAATCATGATGAAAATTCAACTTTCATAATGACTATGCAATAATAGTTATTTGTTATACAAGACGATAAACAATCTTTATAATATTTCGTTTTATTTTGTACTCACCTACCAGAATTTCTTGTGTCTGGTTGATGATACATTAATCAAAGTGGAGTAGATAAAAATTACTTTATTTCACTAGACGATAAAAACTACTTTATCTACTGAAATTAGTTGATAGCAGCACTATCTAGCATTGGGTAGAAAATAAAAAAATTATCATTATTTTTAGGTATTTCAAAGTTTTGTATTTTGCATAATGTTTTATAGCTAAAAAAGTATAAAATCTTTCTCGAGAGAAATAAGTGCAAACTTTAGTGCTACGACATTATTAAATTATCTATCTAAAAACATAAAAATTCAAATGCCTAAAATTTATAAATAAAAAGATAATTCATTTTAAACATTAAAAAATTGACTAGGTATTGCTTTAGAGCCAAAATATGAAAGAACTACCACTCAATAATCACATTTAATTGACAGTAAAGCCAACATTCTTTATTTTCACAATAAAACAATTGAATTTCTATATTTATGCCGACTTTTACAATCTCTGGACAAATAATTACTGCGATTGTCTTGATATCAACAATTAACATTTAAAGGTAATATCTTTTAATTTATCAATTCGAAACATTAAAAGTTTATTAAATTTAATTAGACAAGTTAACAATCTATTAGATGTAACAACATATAGAGAAAATTTTATCCTTGGTAGTATCAAATGAAAACATGCTGCAAAAAATATTAAAAAAATTATTTGTTTAAACGTTCTCCAAATAAAATTTATTAAAGTTATTTTTGAAGTAGAGCGTACGCCACTGTGTAGTGGAAACCATGGTATTAACTTGATGAAAATGTACTTGATCAAATCAACAATTCATAAACGCCGTAAGTGGCACCGATCAAGGTGGTTTTGCCCCTAAAATATGTAAACTTAAAAAGGGTACAGCTTGTCTCCATTAATCTTTGGGAAGCTGTAATCAAATTTTGTCGGTCTATTTAAAAATCATCCTGTATATAATTTTTAAAAAACTTTTTCATTTTTACTTTTTACTTTTACGATTCCAGTTCGTCACACAATTCAAATTTAAGATTAAGATTTAAGATTTGTTGGAAAATTATTTTTCCAACAAAAATGAATAGAGCTAAAGTGCAAAAACTAAAGTCTCATAACTTCAAAATTTTTAGAAATAAAATTTTTTTAACATTTTTATCTTACCTTATATGGCATTTTTCTCTGAGGCGCGAGTTCTGGCGCACCTGTATTAAAGATCAGTAATTGGCTTTAAGGTAAAATGAAAGTCTCTATTATCCCAATCCCAATATTAAAAAATATTAAAATGCACACACATTTGCACACTATTTCTTCTAGCATATGGGGTCAACAATTATCTATATAGGTACGAGAATTATAGGTAATTATTAAAGCAAAGATGTTCAAATCAATGATTAAATAAGCTAACGAACAGAAAAATCGTTCTCTCATATAAAATGTAATTATAAACAATAATGACTATCTTGTTTAGTCCAGTTACAATCTATACATATTCAACTCAAAATTAATGCTTTTTTTATGAATAAGTGCAAAACTAAATTTTATTTTCGGTGTTATTAAAGAAATATTATTCCATAAACATTACTGTTGTAATCATAATTTATTTTTTTTGTTAAATTATTGAATTAACGTAATTGCCGATGTCTGTAAAAAATATTGTATATTCTTTCCTAAAAAATGTATGTCATGTCATTCAATCTGCCAAAATTGTCTATTAATCGTAACAGTAATTACATACGTGAGAACTTTACGTTTTAAGTTTTACATAGTTAGCCTCCTTTCTTAAATTCAAGAAAACTTAGATATTATCCAAAAAAATAAAAAAACGCAGCATTCATTTATTCCCAATTCACGATCATCAAACTATAACAAATTGGAATTTTTCAATTGTCTTTACATTTTGGTACCGGCAGTCTAACATGTATTTACTGCTAGACCAACGTGACTGTAATTGTAATTTTTGTATTCATTACGAATACATATAGACTATACGATCAAAACGAATCATTATTTTTCAAGTATTTGTTGACAGTAGTCTTTGGTTGTGAAAAACACAAAATGAACCCAAAGTTAATTTTTGGTATTGTGGTTGTTATATTTTGTTTAGTTAATGCTTGCAGTGCGAATCAGGATGAAAAAAATTCAAATAATAAAACGGAATTCCAAGTTATTGGAAGACAGTTGGTTGAACAAGGTATTTAAACAAATATTTGACTTAAAAAACATATCCTTATAATAAATTGTCTTTTTTGCTGCGTCCGTAAGCACTATTTTCGTAAATTGTCAGAAATAATTGTTATACACTGTAAAGAGGTCACAAACATAAAAATGAAATTTTTCACATAACCTACGCACAAGTCAAAGGTTACATTTTTTTCATCATTCCACTTTCATTTCAACTCAACACCGATGAAAAACCCAACAGTATTTTTACGATTTTTGTCTTAAACATTAAATTTTATTCATTTTAAGTAAAATTGAAATAAAAAGCTGCAATTTTCAAACAAAATAATGAATTAATCTTGACACAACAAAGTATGAAATTACTTCTAGAAGTTAATAAATTTACACAACTCAACATGCAATTACTTACAAGTAACAAGAGATAAATTTTCTTGCAATGTAGTTTCTCAACATAAAATAATTCAAGTAGTGTGTTTGTGATGATAAATAATCAGCAATGACTAACAAGTAACATCGAGAGTAACATAAATCACAAAAGTTGTAATTAATACCTGGTAATTTTCGCGCCTCTTGTCAAGCGAGTTGTGCAAACATTTATTCATAATGTGTTGTGTATTTTGTACTTTATTGCTATAAACCATCATTTTCATTACTTCGTGAAAAATTTTAATTTAATATGGAGTTTACTGTTTAAAACACTTTTAGAAAGCCAATTTTGTTTGACCAGAACACCAGAGCTCTAATATATGCTTATTTGTAAAAGGTGCGAAAAGTTGAAATTTTACTATCTATTTACTGCTTGTTTCATGTTCTTGTAGACTTGATTTAATTAGTACTGTTTCCATACTTGAACAATCATTTAAATATTATAAAAACATAATTGGTACTTTTATGATTATTTTAATTAATTTTACAAACTTTAAATTTTTTTAGCCATAAAATACACATAAAATTTATATTTTCTTGAAATATTTTTTTAAAAATTGTGTTAGTATAGGGTTTTTAATACAAAAAATCTTAGAATATACAAGATTCTTATTTGTTGTGTTGTAAGTACTTACTATATAGAAAATAAAACATTTTACATAATTTTTTTTAAAGTTTATCTTTCTTAAATTGTGTATGCTATTTAGTTGTTCTCCGAGTTCTGAGATCTGTTATTACTTTCATTTAACGGTACAAAAATTCATTAATATTTTCTACAAACATAATTTAAACAATAATTTATATCTTAACTGCTGAACTAGATGTTTGTAAAAATTTATTATTAAATAAATATCTAAGTACAAGATAAGAACTGAGTTAGGCACAAACAAATTGAACAAAAATTGATCAAGTCACCTTCTGCAAATACAAGAGAAAGCAGGATAATAAAATTTATCTTTGTTATCTTGTAAGCACTTACATCTCTTTTGTTTTTTTCAGAAAAAATACTGCACAGAATAAAAGTATAGTAGATATTTATGTAGAAATAAAAAAAACATAAAAAGTATAAACTAGTACAATTTGGTATTGCTATAGTTTTGCTTAAAGAACAAAAATTAAAAAAAAACTTAAAGGAATCGTCAAGAATTGATAACAAACCAACATTTATCACGTCATTAATTTTATTGAGTAATGACTTTTTTCTTTACTCTTTTTAATATTATTCTATTATATATTTCTTTATCTTTCTGGTTGTTGTAAAAAAATGATATTGCAGAATTCATTTCTTTGAAAAAATTACATTTTGTGTAAAAATTGCTTTTTTTTTTCTAATTTTTTTTCCTAAATACGAATATTTTTATAAAAACTTTATGTAACAATTTTTACGGATTTGGATACTTGTGGCCCATTTTTTTATAGCCAACTTTAAATCACAAACACATAAAATCTAATCATAAAAAAGTAATAAACAATTAAATAAACAATCACATTTTACGAGACACAATAATGCAAGAACAATAAAAGTTTCCAAAAACATAAGAAAATAATGTGAAACCTAACCTTTAGAGAATTTTTTTCTTATAATTATTCTCATAATATCTTTCTCAACAACCTACCACTGAGTTGGTGCGCCACGTCTGGCGCTCTATTTATCCATTCAACCAGGGGTTGCCCTCTACATAATTCATAATTCTCTTATTTTAATAGAATTCAAAAAATATACCGGTGTTCCGTCTAAACCCCACATTAAAAGTATTGGGAGTTCAAATAATCATACAGGGTGCGCTAGAACTCGCGCCCCAGAGAAAATTTTCAAGTAAGGTAAGATACCAGGAACATGAAAAAAATGTTTAAAAAATTCTATCTGTCAAAAAATTTTGACATTTATTTTTTGACATTTGACATTTTTTAAAATCTATTTAATGATACTGATGATCTTGTATATGTTTTTTTACAATCATTTAGTAAAGGGACAAAAATTTTGCCAATGAAAGCCACAAATAACATTGAACAGAGTTAGAATTTAAGATACAGCTTCCTTGTTTTCTCTTTTAATAGCCTATAGCAAAAAAACTTGGAAAATTATTTTTCCAACAGAAATAAATAGAGTCAAAGTGCAAACTTTAAACCCTCATAACTTCGAAATTTTTATAGATACAGACATCATAATTTTGTTACACTCTCCATAAATACAAAATAAAGTAATTAAATCTAAGTTTGAGTAGCTTTGACTCTCCATATTTTGGCACTATTTGTCAAATAATAAGTCACTGTCGACGTTTGTTGAGAAATTTTTTTTTTTGAAAAACTTTATTTCAAAAACGGCTAAATTTAGGTATAGGGAAAGCTGATGAAAACTCCCTTAAAATAACCCGATTAATCCAAAAACGCACTAAAAATATACCTTTCCATTTAAAATAAGAAAGTTTAGACCGACTTCCGGTATAAGCGGAAGTGCCGCCATCTTGAAAATATTTTAATTTAGGAGGACTTAATGGATTATGGCTATGAACCAATTTTCAAATAAATACGATTATTCCAACTCCCAATACTTCTAATGTGGGGTTTAGACGGAATAGCCTGTATAATAATAACAGTATTAATATACAGGGTATTATACTACTCTTCATTTGTTGCTAGTCTTTCAGTTGAAGAAAAAGTTTAAATAAATAATTAATTAATAAAAATAATAATCCCATGTCAGCAATGCATTAATAAAAAAGTAACAAAACTGACAATACAAAAGTGTTTTTATAAAACATCAGCCAGTTCTTCAACTTTTTCATTTTTTTTTCTCGTAGCAAAGAATTATTCTAGTTCAAAAATACAATTCAAAATACTAATACAATGTGTATTACAAAACTTGAATTATATAATTTCAATACTGCTTTGTCATTTATCACGTTCATTTTCACTAAAACTAATGACTTTCATTTTTCTCGCTCATATTCACCAAACAAATTTCTTTCAACAATACATTTTTTCCTTTATTTCTAGGTCGTACGCTTGTCCATCACGCCTTCAAACGGTTCATGATCATCTTACCCGCTATATTTTTCAAGTTAGGAATTGCGTTTACGTTACTTATCCTCGTTGCTTTAGCCGCTGTTAACAACGGTGTCATCGGCTTTATGCTTCTTGTAGTAGGACTCAGCAGTGTTCTTGCACGTTTGCAAGAATCGAGAAGACCTGCTGCCGTTCCAGTGTCATACATCAGCCCTCTTCCTCCTTACCATCATCACGAAGTATGGGACAGGAGTGACGTGACTGGAAGCAGAAATGAGGATGCCAATAAAGCGACTTCTTATTATAACAGTTATGCTGGACAAGGTGTTCAGTATAACCCAGCTGTGGCCAGTTATTACGCCAAATATGCGAATGCAAAAGTTTAAAAGTTTTATTTGTTAAAATTAGTTTTGTTTCAATGTTATTTATTGTGTATACGTATTTATGTTACCTACTAATTATTATTTAATATGCTTAATTAAACGTTCTTTTTTTATAAACAATTTTTAATGATGCCCTTTAATAAGTCAGTAATTAGTAAATTAATTAAGTAATTAGTAACGATTTAATAGAAAAAACAATGTACATTGATATCTTGTAACCTGACAACCAAAAAATTCTAAATGACTTTTAGTAAATTATACAGGGCACCAATGTTGCTCTTACTTAGAAATATGTCACATCATCCAATATCAAAGTATTTTATTAATTGTGCACAAACTTAGAACTTTATTATGGCTCTTAAATGTGCATAATAAACGGTGTTTTTTTTTTTAATTTGGCGTCACATCTATCCATGAAAGTTTGATTGTGAACGAACCATCGTATTAAAAATTATTAATCTGACATTTGACACCGCGCCAAGTTTATTAAAAATTGTGGTTCGTTCACAACATACTCATGGTTACTGCCAACTATGACGCCAAATTCAAATAAACACCCGTTGTATTCATACGTAGTATTTAGTAACATGTAAACAATAATAAAAAGAAGAAAAAAGAAATTATTAAAGACAAAAATGTACTTAAATATTGATAAGGAGATAAACGCCATAAAAAAGGCATAAAGAAAGAGCATATTTTATACCTTCAAGTTTTTTTATTAATTCTTAATTGTATCAAACTAAAATAAGTTTTACCTATAACAAACAGCTAAGAGATCACTTTACTAGATGGCATACTTTTGTATATAGAAAAAGAATTCTATTTACTTGTAGTCAAAAAAATTATCCGGCTTCATTTCTATTACCCAAAATATTTTGGACTCATTTCTTTTAATCTTTTTTAGCAATCGTATCAATGATTTTGGAAACCAAATGTCACATTTTTTGATAAAACGTTTGTATTGTGAATGAACATTATCCACTTCCTGCACGGATATATTTTTTTTAATTTGTAATCGCTAGAGAAATGGAAAAATTTCTATTCAGAGCAACACAACAAAAATTGATAACGTGTGAAAAGACATTTTTACCAAAGATCTAAAAGTATGTAGATATGTATAAGATGTGTGTGAATAACAAAATGTATTCACAATTCTCTCTCAATGTTGAGTATTTATTGAATTGTTTGCATTTTAACAAAAAGAAACAGAAATGTGTAAATTTCAACAATTAACAACAAAAATTTTACCAACACAAAAGTGATCATGACTGAAAACTAATATTTTTAATGTTTTAAATGTCTGAATTATAGTATCTAAAACAGTAATATTTTTTTAATCCATGTTTTACAGTTTTCAAGTTGACCATAGCACATTTTCACAACGTTATTATCACGTTGTTATAAAATATTATTGTTCAAGTTCAAACATTTACTTGTGCAAAGAGAAGTGGACATACCTACATTATGTCCATTTTCATTAAACTAACGTTAAAACTGGAAAGACGATGTTTATCGCAAATTAAGCTTGACAATATAAAGACAAACTGTAACCTTATTACACACATTAGAGGTCTTTTATGACCCTCACGAGTAGGTATACCTATGTATTTGTAGATGCAGAAACTGTGCAATCTCAGAATGGTTTGTTGTTATACTAATATCTATGTTGTACATTTATACAGGGTGTAACAAAAAGATGGGAACAAAAAGTAACTTGAAATTCCTCACGTCAAAGTAAAGCGATTTTAAACCTTCTCATTTCCAGGTTATGCACAAAGACAAATGTCAGTTTGAGTTTTCCAACAATGAGTTTTATTCTCACCTGAGGATGACCACTTTGTGGTTGAAACGCGTTGTGCTATTAAAATAAAAGTTTGGTGTGACGGGCTAATCGTGTTTTTGTTCAACAATTTTTCCAACGCCTTTATGAATAAAACAGCCACTACATGACATCAACCGACGGAAATTTCTCTAAATTAAAAAAAAAATTTCTTTAAATAGGTGCAGCATAAAAAGCGCAAAATAAAATAAATATAAAAATATAAATAGAGACTCGGTATAGAAAACCATATCGTTTGTTCATAAACTCGCCGCTACGAGGTTCGTATCGGATTGTTGCTTGAATGCCTTCTACAAATCGTATTTTAATACACTAATGACGTTTTCGTAAAGTCAATAACAAAAAAAATATTTCTTAACCTACATTTTTTATACAGATTACAGATTGTCCCACCTAAGACTTTTGGATCTAATACGTTATCTCTATTATTTGCCAACGTATTCTAACAAAATTTAAAATATTGAGTATTTAGTAGGTAAATATTAATATTGTATTTCTAAAACAAGCCTAGTTCTTAAAATGTAATTTCACATGTCTTTTAAAAATGGTAAATTACTTAAAATTTATATTAAATTGTTAATCGCCAATAAAAAATGCCATCAGCAAAAATGTGTTCTTGAAATAGGTCCCACTTACAAGAAAAACCAATAAAATTGTGTTAAAAGTGGTTTAAAGATGCAAAAACATGGGCGGCTACAAAAAAAAAACGATATTACTGAATTTTAATCACTCACAAAAGGTGCTTGAAGGTATAACCATTAGCAATTATATATGGCTTATATGGCTGTTAATTTACCACAGGTTTTAAGGATTGTACAAAATGTTACTAGGAGACGTTTTAGAGTTAACTTTGTTAAAATTCTTTCAAAAATTAGGTGAGTGATTTTGTTAATTTTTTGTGTAGAGGTCTATTTTTTAGTACTTAACAAGATAATAGTAGTTTCGCTTAATTTTAATTTAAGAAAATATGTATTCAAATTATAATTTGCAACTTGCAGTAATTTTATTAAAACTAATTAAATCTACATCTTTTAAGTTGTCTACATTTTAAATTTCATAAAAATCCGTTAGCAAATAACAGAGATATTAGAACCGAAAATCTTACGTGGAGCACCCTGTATATGTATTTATATTTTCTTTCATTTCTTTCCATAGCAGCTCTAAAATTTTTATTTCAATATCACAAATATTAAACAAAACATTAAATTATTAATTTGTAATCAATAAACCTTCAATTATATCTTAATGTATCCTGATTTCTTGCCTCAACATGTTTACCAGATTTTGAATAATTTTATTTTTACCACAATTTTGCTTGAAGTTATGATAAAACAATCTTTTATTTTTAGATCATTCTTGACCTATACAGGGTGCACTTGAACTTGCGCCCCAGAGAAAAATACCATGTAAGGTAATATCAAGAACATGGAAAAATGTTAAAAAAAATTCTATCTATAAAAATTGTGAAGTTATGAGAGTTAAAATTTTGCACTTTGACTCTATTTATTTCTGTTGGAAAAATAATTTTCTAAGTGTTTTTGCTACAGGCTATTAGAAGAGGAAACAAGGAAACTATATCCTAAATTGTAACTCTGTTTAATGTTACTTGTCGCTTTTTTAAACAAAATTTTTTGACCTTTACTAAATAATTAAAAAAAAACATATACAAGATCATCAGTATCATTAAATAGATATAAAAATTTTCAAATGTCAAAAAATAAATGTCAAAATTTTTTGACAGGTATAGAATTTGTAAACGGTATTTCCATGTTCCTGGTATCTTATCTTACTTGAAATTTTTTTTGGCGCGTGAGTTCTGACACACCCTGTATAAATACTTCTACAATTTTAATTAATTCAGTTTTGCCAAAATTTTAGTTCACAATTTAAAATACTCCTTTTTTACTGTTCAAACATAGCAATAGGTACGACAGATTTTCAACATCAGTTGACCAGATTAATTATTATTAAAATATTTCTTTTTATCTGCATATTATTATACACCGTGACGCACAAAATAATAAAGTAAAATATTGACTTTTTATACTAATATTAAATATTGTCTTCATATACATACTATACACATTCTAGAGCACATTTCTTTGTAGGTAAGCGTTTTCTCAAAATATTAACATTAATTTATATGCACAAAAACGCTGTCTTGATTAAACCAATTACCTTTTTGCTCATATTTTGTGCTCTCAATAAGCGGCATATTAAATTCTTATTTTATTTGTAAGATAAAAACGAGCCTAGACTAAAATATGTAATTTGTTTCACTCGACAACTTCTCCAACATAATTAGCCCAAATTTTCACCAATAATTAACATACAATTAAACTGTACCAAAAATTTTAATAATCTAATCATGATTTGATAATAGATTAACATAATTAGAACGGTAGTTATAATGAAGTTTGAATAATTCTTACGCATTCCAAGAGAAAGTATTATGTAGGTAACATCAAAATTGGTCTCAAGACGATTTAGTTTTGATGTTACTATGACTTTCTTCCACATACTGGGTCAACTGAAAAGTTAATATCGTTTTTACTTTTGTCCAGCCAGTTTCCTGTTAGCCAAATTACTCGACGCTATACTTTTAAAACGATGAAAAATTAAGTTGTTTGAAGAATAATAAGCTTATATGGTGCTTGTGGTTTAGTACAACCTAATTGATCAACCAAACAGAAAATAAAAAAAATTCTTCAGACTTGTTAACCTGAAAATATAATACTCATATGAAAAGAAAATAGATGTAAAAACAATCTATGATGTTGATATTGTTTCTGATAAGTGTTTTGACCTCCATTTTATCGTAGTGAGTGTAAAGTGACCCATACATAAGTTCCGCTCCAGTATATATTTTATCTAACAAAATTAATCAGTTAATTAAAAATTATTATTATTACTTAAATTTAGAAACAAAAAATCGTTTAAATTGCTTAAGGTTTAAAAATTTTAGCTTGTGGTAAAAGAAAACTTAAGCTGAAACTAAAAATTAATTAAAACATAATCTTGTAACAGAGAGAAGAAACAAAATTCCGAGATGATTGTTTTTTCTAATAAATTTTGTTGAAAAATTCCGTAAATATCTATTAAATATACCAAAAATGTATTCTTCTAACAAATTAAAGTTCTTATTATTATTTCTCGAACTACAATAGTTTTACTTTAAAATAATTATAAATATTGACACTTTCAAAGATTCAAAACCACAACCTTTTTCTTTTATTTTTTAATTTTTTTTATAAGCTATTCCAAAAAGCATTTAAGTTTTTGACCTACTATTTTACCTCTCTTATAGACACATAAAATCCCAGCTAAAAATATCTAGGTTAATACATATTTTTGTTTTTCATTTAATTTCAAAATCATTAGTTTGCGTCTCCGGGCAAAAAAAATATAAGATATACCGTAAAATGGAGTTACAGACTTTGACACGTTATGAGGCTACTAATTTTGTTTCATTTTCAGTATAGGTACCTACCAAAATTTCGTTTATTTGATTTTTATGCCATATAAAAACCACAAGATACCAAAAAATGACTTAATTTAAAATGATTAAATTTTTTTGAAAAAAATACAAATAAAATATATATTTTATGTTTGCTGTTTAATGAGTTTAATACAGTTTAATTACATCATATATTACATGTTTTTAGTTTTAAGGTGTCAAAGTACCCCCCAGGCTAGCATAATTTTGATTTTCAACGTAATTATAAAGGGACTGTCAAAATAGCCCCGGGGTTTCTTTGACACCAAATTTTCAAACTTTTTTTGGAATAACTATGACCTTGAGGTAAAATTTTAAGCTTGATTTTTAAAGCAGAAGGATCAATTGTTCTGATGCTAATTTTTTCAAGAAAATATTGCAACAACTAAAAAAGTTACATTAACAAAACCTCTCAAACTATGTCAAAGTAATCCCATTTTACGGTAATAAGCATTAAAAAACAGTTTTTTTTTCTTGCCTTTATAAACAGCACATATTTTGTCCTGAACTTAGCCATAAAAGTGTACCTTTTATAATTATCGTAATAGTTATTTGTATTACTACAGGTAGCTGTCTGGGACTTGTCAAGGGCAGTAACCACCCAGGGAGGAAAAGACACTGTTAATATCCCAGTTTTTCCATTAAATCTAACAGCATGTTTTCCCGCTTTTATGGGGGAGGTAAAATTTTTACCTCCTGGAAGGTAATTGGCGATTTTCCTTTCTGAAATCAAGGTGGAAAAACTTACTTTCTGTTAGAGTTGTAGAAAAATTTTATTTACAAAGCCGGATAAAATTAATTAAAACGGCCACTATCTTTAATTTTTCTAGAAAAAGAAAAATTACATTAAAACACTTAAATTTACAAGGAATACAAATGTTCTTTGTTCATTTTATTTTATTTTCAAAAAAACAAAAATTGTAAGAAGTGCATGTTAAGTAATAATAATACATACGTTGTACCTAATATTATTTAAATTCGTTTGTAAATGTTCATCAAACCTGAAAAAAAGCTCACTAATTAAAAGCTACTAATTAGTAGTCCTATAACCAGACCAGCCTTGCATGTTTGATAAAACTTAAATGTCCATTAAAGTTTTTGTATTTCCTATATTGTTTACATCATTCCAATGTATTTAAAACGATAAATTTATATAGATAGATAGATCGATAGATTATCAAAATCTATCTACATTTTTTTTTAAGTTTCTTTTTCTTTTTTCCACAAATTCTCATAAGTTTTGTCAGGATGTAAAATTATTTTTTTATTCAAAGTAGATGAAACTCATTTTGAATGAGTTAAACAGTCACAATTATAATTTTCGAGATAACTACAATATTACCGTAAAACAATAGCATTATCTGTTAAATTGGTTCAATCGACGTTAAGAAACATGTCACAGTTTTCTCCTTATGGCATATTTTTGTGCTCACTCAACAGAATCTCATGTAGTTTTTTACTTAACAAATTTCGTTGTTCAATGCGTTAATTAGAATTTAGAAATTTAGAAAGAGAACGCATAACTGTTCACTAATCTGGCGTCATTTAATTGATAATAAAAAACTAGAACTAATTTACATCGTTTTCCAGTAAATCATGTATAAAACTGTCTTACAACAGCAACAATAACACAGTATTAAAAACAATTTTCAAAAATCGACCCACATTTCCAACATTCCGGGAACCACCTCCAATTTGAGTGCGTGTAAGTGAACGTTTTTCAAGAAGTCAAAATTAGAACAACGTCGAGGTGTATCGCGCTCTCGATGGTCACTTCAGTTCTCAAACCGCCTTCGCTGCGAACATGTAACTATGGTTAAACCTGTTGGAAAAGTTAGTTTAGTTATCGTATGTACATCATGCTGATGCATGCGGTTGCACTATTGTTTGTGATAACTGTCGTTGATTGTGCTTTTATCAATCAAGTGAAAAGAGAAAACAGTATTACTTTATTTAATCAAACCAAAGAGGATACAGGCCGTGGCTTAATTGGTACAGGTGATTCCTCTCAATTTCATACTTTTAGTTAATTAAAGTGTTGCAGAAGCGCGGAAAAAAGAGGAAAAAAATGATATGATGAGCAGGATTTTGCCGTTGATGGTGATCCCGTTTATGGTATCAACTGCGATGATTCCGATGATGTTGGTCTCTTTGAAGTTTATGCTTATGAAAAGTGCCTTTATTGGAAAATTAGCTGTAATATTGTTGATTTTGAATCTATTTAGAAATAGGTCGAGTGGAGAAGGTGGTGTTTATACGCACAATATCCAATTAAGTGAAATGTCGATGGCTCATTACGGGTATAACGGCGAAGAAGAATATGGAGCTTATGTTAATGGAAAGAAGAGGAGTTTCAGATAACTAATGCTTATTGTGTTAGAAATAATTGAATTATTTATTTATTTAATTTATTTATGTGTACTTCATGAGTACGGATACTGTTTTCTTTGAAAACTTAAAGCCGCTGTTAAAATCTTTGCTATTGCTCTTGTTGCAATTAGGGATTCTTGTATATTGTGTACTATTTTGTAAATAAACTCATTCTGCAATAAAAATTCTAAATCCTTAAAAGTAGGGGTAAGAACAAGAAAATCGTTAAAAATGACTAAATAAAAAATAGAGGGCAGAAATTTGGTGTAATAGAGGAAATATGTCACTACTTTAACTAATTACGGTTAATTGGCTAATGACACACATTTTCAATTTTGGTAGTTATGAAGAATCCGAAAGAAATCTACCACAAGTTCAGAAAAAAATGTCTTAATAATCAAATTTATTAAAGCTTATAACTTATTTTTTATACTTATTTGACCACAATCACAGAATGAAATTTCTGAAATTTTGCATAAGTGTTTAATTAATACTGTTCTGATTATGGAATGACATAAAACTCATCAAATGAAACACTTTCCTGACAACACTGTATTTCTTGTGAAGGTGATGAAATTTTTTTTAAATATTACGATGCTTTTGATTAAAGTATTTGTGAATTTAATTTAATCAATGATATTTGATAATAAGTTATTTATTACAGTTGCTTATTACCGTTGCCTGTTGACTGTTGGTAAGATGTAAAAAAAATAAGTTAAACGTAATAGTATATTACATAACGAGCACGGAAAGTGATAAATAACGCACAAGCGGGAAATTTGCGCACGAGGCGTTGGCCGAGTGCAGGCAATGCCGCGATTACCTTAGACACTTTCCTACAAGTTTTGTACACTATTTTTCCTACGACCATAAATAATTTTCTTCTTACGAACATTTTTTTTCAAAACGATTTATTTTTTATAATAGATAAAAAAAAATACGTTGAATGAAAAAATACAAAACATTCGAGTGTGAATTGTGCGTTATATTTCTAACACACAGTGCGAAAAGAAATCGCACAGGTTTTCGACCTCGTACGATATTGCCAATTTTCGCGCATATGTAATAATTGTACGTTATGATCTAGTTTCGTATATGGCCGTAGGAAAAGTCTGTTTTTTTTTTAATGGAAATGCCAGTTTTAACGTTGCGTTGGCAGCACTAGTAAATTCATTCATGTTAATTTTAATAAAGCAGTTCCGGTTTTTTGAATTAATTTGAAAACAATGTCATTAAACGTCAAAACAAAAAATCGTCTAAGAAAATTTAGAGACGAAACACCAAAAAAGGAACAAATTCGGTACCGCTAACAGTTTTTAGAAATTTGGAAACGAATAGTTTGCAAGCAGGAAGTTAGAAAAAGGACCCGGTAAAATATAGACGCAATTTGTAATGCAGGTTTGCTAAATACTCTCAATTTTTAGCATCAAATTGACTAAATTACATGAATGAGAAAGATCCTGGGAGTGAACGTGTCTTGTGCATCGTTTTTGAGGAACGAGTTGAAAAAGTAACAATTTTGAAACTAAAGCTGAAGAAAGAATAATAAAATGCTTCAATATTGAGCTCATGTCATTAAATTACACAAAATTTATTGCCAGTTATCATAATACCCACTTGTATCTTATACTAAATAATTTTTTTCTGTGTATACACCCTTTTGTTCAAAGTTTTTGTAGCAAGAACCTCATCTTTGTCCACAACAATGTACTTAGTTGCTCTGTGTTTTTATCAAAATTATTAGCACTGAATTCGGTCTTTAGACCTTAGGTAACGATTTTTTTTTATAAAATACATTAATTTAGAATGAATTATGTACTAAAATCGAGCAAAATTAGTTTGAAAATAGCAAAATTGCTTTATTTTGGAAAAAAACTTTCTCAGGTATTCAATTATTGCAATTTCAAAGAGCAAACAGGCACACAAGATTTATAAAAGTCAAAATTTTGACAACATCTCAATTTGAAAACATAACCATAATTTTTTATTTTTTAACAAAATTTCTAGGGACTAAAACAAAGAGCAAACACAACTTGTGGCTATGGAGAAAAGCTGCTACCAATTTTTCACCAAAGTTGACTTGGTAATTTCCATTTAAAGAAAAAACAGACATAAGGTGGATTTTACTAAAACGTTTAATAAAGTAAATCATTCATTGATATAAAAACTAGCAGCTTATGGTGTATTGGTTTAATTCATATCTTGACAGAACTCAGGAAGTAAGGATAAACAATAAGTTCTTGTACCCTCCGGAATCCCACAAGAATCTATCTTTGGTCCTCTGCTATTTTCAATATTTATACGTTTAGGGTACGTTATTCTAGGCTGCTAGTTTTTGTATCAATATTGAATGATTTACTTTATCATATTGGGAACAATCTCATAAATACTTATAATATTCATAAATAAATCGTTTCTTCGTTGACGACTTAAAAATCCATAAAAATAATCAAATGTTTAAACGATATGTTTAATTTGCATAAAAATTTGAAAAGATGGTGTAAAGAAAACAACATGTGTTTCAAGTTTCAATATTTGCAAATGCCAAGTCATGTGCTTTGTACATACCTTATACCCCTGTTTACAGAGAGATGACAGCAGCGATCAGAAGAAGCAAAAATTATTTAATTTACATTCTTTGAATGTTTATACTAGTTATACTAGCAGAAACTACACTTAAATTTTAAAATATAAAGGGTCTTAGCCCTAATGATCTCTGGAACTAGTTCTACAAAAACTATTATTGGTATTGATTTAAAAATTATTTTAAATTGCAAAAATACACCTAGTGAAATCTAAAAAAATGTGAAATTAGCGGCTAAACCTAAAAATTCTTTGCCGACCGCCAGTACTGGCACCGTTGCCGGTAGCGGAGGCACTGCCTTTAATTTTTATTTCTAAAATCCGTAAATAAAACATAATTTTTAAAAATTTCCAGTGTAATCACTCGTGTTCGTGTAGCATATACAGGATTTTTTTTTATACAAGCCACCCTGGATATCTCATAAAATAAAAAGTCACGAGGCAGTTCAATTTTTATTTACAGAGAGAGCACTTTTAGTGCCCTTTTGAAAATTGTAACACTAACTCCTCTTGTAATACAAAACCCCTTTAAATGGTACTACCCCCTGTGTGATACTTCAAATAAAAGATAAAATTTCCGAAAGTTTTTCTATTGATTCTCTTAGAAAAAAATATGTATTTCTGGTTTTACTACCCATATTTTTGAATAACACCATGTAAAAAGCTAATAAATGTTAAAATTTGCAAGAAAAAATATTGAAAGATGATACCAAGTTGTACAGTGTGCAATCAGTAACACAACAATATAATAAATATAATATTTATTTATTTAGGTCACTAGTTTTTTCTTTTATATTGATTTTATTTAAGCAAAAGATTTACAATTTTTAATCACATTTTCATGACCCGATTAACTATTAAATATTTTTGTCCAAAAAAAAAATTATTAACAGAACTATAACAATATTGTAACTAAAAATTATGTTTATTATAAAAAAGTTTTATCTTTGTTGTTGTCATCTAATTTTTAATCAGGCTCTTTATTTTAAGATTTTAGAAACAATAATACAAAACTGTTCTGAAACGACCCACTCTAGACCGAAGTTTTTTATTACAAATAATATAATTTAAAACAGAATAATAATGAGGTTTTTGCCCATTTTTTTATGGAATAATATTCTTATTAAAGTACATATCACGCATGAGAAAATAAATCATGACAGAAAGTTCTCAAATTAGTACTTGTTAAACAATTTTTTATAAGTATAAAAAAAATGTCATTAATACGAGAACTCAAACATTGTCTTTTTCTCACACTATTGACCATCTAAAAACACTACAAAACATGTAAAAACCTGCTAATTTAAATGCAATTAGAATATAGAAACAAATGGTTTATAATTTTTTATACGTTTCATAATTTTTTAAAAAAGCATTAACTTTTTAATCTTTTTATTGTAGTAAGCTGTGGTAAACAATTTAAAAAAAAATCATATATATAGACAAAAATAAATTATACATACAGACTGTCCCAGGGAGTTGGTAAAGTCCATTATTGACCTTTAATTAAAAATTTTATATAGGGTAATTCATAAATATGAAGCAATATTTGAACCTCAAAAATGAGCTATAAAATGATGATAATTTAAATAATAACTCATATTCTAATTCTACTGAAAAAAAAATTACAGCTCCCGAAATGTGGGTATATTTTTTTTTTGTAATAACTTTAGAATAATTTGACCAAATATTATAAAATTTGGATCAGTTACTTGCAAGAATAGGTATATCTTTTGAACTGGTAATCCCAAAAACCGGATACATCTTCTCAATTTCCGGTTGTTGCGCAGGTTATATTTTCTTAGTTTTTCCGATTTTTTGCTCTATTAAACTAATTTTTTCTTGCTCAAATGGATAGTAATCAATTTCAAAAAAAAATTAATAACTTTTAATACTCCTAAAATAAACCGTTTAGTTGAAAAAAATTTCATGCTGTGCACTAGATTAGTGTTTATCAATTGCCTATATAATTTTTTTAAAATTGTAATATTTAAAGATAAATAATGGGCTTTAGCAACTCACTGGGACACCTGTACATAATATATTCATTTTTGTTTTGGACCAGAGTAGGCAATGGAAATTTGTCGGATTGTACAGGTATAAAACTGTCGCTGAATGACAATAAATTAGCCCACTCTGGTCTAAAACAAAAATGATTGTGTTATATTCAAACCAAAACATTTTTCATCAAATTTCAATACATACTATAATATTCTAATACATATTTAGCATCGATTTAAAATATTGTATTTTCACTTAAAAATTCATCACCCATTTCCTAGTAAAAGGTCTAAACAAAGCAACTTTTACCAAGATCAGTGTCAAAATTTCAACAGATCCCTACTCAGACAGGTAGTTTTTATGTTTATAATCCAATAAGGAAATCTGTCCATGAAAAATATACCGCTTTAAATTCAAAATATCTAGAATTCCTGTAGTAATGTGTAGTAGTGTAGTAATGTACTAAAAAAGCAACATTTTTTCATTGTTACTTTTTTACTTAAATTTGAAAACAAAATAAAAAATGTAAAAATATTTTGATAAAAGTATACAATTACATTAAAATTATAATCGGGATTTAAATCACCTATACTTATTTATTTTCTGTTTCAATTAAATCAATAAGTAAATGATTGATAAGTTTTTACCATATTTTTGCTTAAAGGTAACACTGCTCACTTTAAAAAAATACAAACATAGTCATAAACTGGAAGCAAATTAGTTAAATACTTTGTAATTTATTAGATTCTACAGGGTACGCCAAAACACGCGCCCCAGAGAAAAATTTCAAGTAAGATAAGATACCACGAACATGGAAAAGATGTTTAAAAAATTCTATCTGTCAAAAAAAATTGACATTTATTTTTTGACATTTTTTTATTTCTATTTAATGATACTGATGATCTTGTATATGTTTTTTTTACAATTATTTAGTAAAGGGACAAAAGTTTTGCCAATAAAAGCCACAAATAACATTGAACAGAGTTACAATTTAAGATACAGCTTCCTTGTTTTCTCTTTTAATAGCCTATAGCAAAAAAACTGGAAAAATTATTTTTCTAAAAGAAATAAATGGTGTCAAAGTGCAAAATTTAAACACTTATAACTTCGAATTTTTTATAGATAAAATTTTTTAACATTTTTTCCATTTTCTTTGTATCTCACCTTTTGTGGCATTTTTCTCTGAGGCGCGAGTTCTGGCGCACCTGTATATTTATTTTACATCATCCTTATTTTTTATTTTTATAAAAATACAGCTTTCATTTTTCTTTGCATTTTATGAGACAGCGTAGATATGTATTTAATTAATTTTAAAATGTAATTTAAACATAAATTTGCGATACAAAAATATATAGTTTTGTTTTACGATTTTGTTATTTACATAAACAAAGTAGGTATCAAAAAAAAGCGAATAAAAAACTGTTGAGCCTAAATAATTAAGGTACCACGAAACATTCTAACTGTCACATATTTTTTGCCAAGTATTCGTCTTCTCCAAAATAAAGTGGGCCACAAAGTGTTACACCAGCGCCGGTTAATTGCATTAAAATATTCAAAGTTATACTTAAGACATCCATTTAAACTGGATATTCAAAACCAGAACAACAAGTCAAGCGGAACGAGTTCGAGAAATTGCATCGTCGTGGGATTCATTTCAAATCAAACTCTTCTTGCATCAACAACATGTGCTCTTAAAAATGGATTTTGTGACTACTTTGTTGCTAATTGTTGGTTTATGTGCCTTTCAAATTAATTGCCGTCAAATCCAGACCGGAACCATTGAAGGTGAGTTTGAATTTTAATTAGACCGAAATTAATTTGACTTGTAGAAGGACGAAAAAAGCAACAAGACGATATCATGTCGAAGATTTTACCAATGATGGTTATGCCATTTATGGTCCAAACCACATTGCTTCCGATGATGTTGATGTCGATGAAGTTTATGTTACTCAAAAGTATGTTTCTGGGGAAACTCGCAATACTTTTCGGCTTTGTCACATTTTTGAAAAATATGTTAAACAACGGTGGAGGTTTATTCAGTCACAATGTCAACGTCCAACAATCACATCATCACGATTTGGCACAACAAAATTACGGTTACCAAAGAAGAAGAAAGAAACGGGAATTGTAACTAGGAACAAATTAAGAAACTCTTTCTGTGATATATTTATTGTAAATAAAAGTTAAACACTTTACAACAGCGCCAACTTTTTATAGACACAATAAAACAGATCATTTCCTGTTTCTCAAGACACCTCACTACCTGTAATTCTCCTCTTCTCAGTCCATAAAATAATTTCAAGTTTTCGGAATTGAGACCTCCCAAATGTTACATTTTTTCACACTCGAATTATTGTTTAAATATTTCTTCTCCGAATAAGTGGCCGGAAAACCCAAATGAATGAAATTAAAATAATCCTATGACCCGTTGTATAGCCTCTCTTCAGGGGTCCCCTTTCGCAAAAGAATTCTCAAATCCAACCACCGCCGGAAACAAGTAACGACAAGTAAATTACCAAATAGGATTATAGATTTGTAGAGTTGAAGAGAAATATATATTTGCATTTTATAACGGGTGAAGGTTTATGACTGAAACAGGTAGGGTAAGAGGATTTGGGGTCATTAGAGAATCGGAAAATAGGTATTGTAAATTATACCAGTGTTTAGGATTTTGATTGAATTAGGAATTTTAAAGAAAAATTTGTTTCAAAAGTAAATTATAAATTAATTAAATATGAGAAAAAAATATCCACTTTTAGAATTTAGAATACTTTCTTCAAATTCATTCTTAATAATTATAAACTTAGCATAACCTTGAACTCATGCATAAAACTGTTCAACACGTGTAGCCTTCTTTTTCCAGGTCTTTATATAAAACAAAATATTAATATTACAAGAAATTGTAAATACCTATAACTGAAAAAAATTAATAAAACTTATACTAAATTGCTGTCATTTCAAAATAATATTTTTATAATATGACTTTAATTTTTTTTTAGTTACAGTTGAAACGATAAATTTCTTAACAATAAAATAATAAATAAAAACAAACAAAACCAAATTACGCCAAAATAGAACAAATATCTGAAAAATAAAATAAAAGTAAACCATTTGACGGTGTTACAAAAAAAATTACACCTAAAACAAACTTGTTTGTCACCAAAAGGAAAACTTTTTATTATTTAATTAAACTCTTAAAGAAAATTACATCCTTTGCAACGCTTCCAGATTTCATTGATAGTTTTCAATGTTTAAAAAATAACATTTATTTTAAAATGTTATACATAAATAAATATTAACATTCAATTATGTTAGGACTGTAATAGCATAATCTCCTGCAATAGCAGGAGATTATAAGTAAATACAGGTGAACAAAAAGTATAGAACCATGCGTTATTAGCTTAATATATACCTTCTAAAAAAAACAATTGATAAAACCGTATAAAGGTAATCATTTTAAAAAACAGTTATTTATTCGACGAGTTTGAGTGTAAATCGGACGCTTTATTTTACTGAGTGCATTATTAAACCACGAGTGCTAACGAGTGGTTTATCAACCACGAGGTGGAATAATGTTGAATACAACATTTTATTCTTAAAATTAGACTCAACAAGGCTTAAAATTGGTTTAAATCTGTTAAAAAGAATGAAAATTTGTTTTTGTGTTTAAGTATTGTTTAATTTTTTTAATGGTAGTCTATTATATTTTTTTACAAAGACTGATTAAAAGATTAAATTTTAGTTAAATTCAATTTTTGTCAAAACAATTCTCATAACTTGGTATTTTAAAACCAAAAATTGAATAACTAAAAATCGTGTGAATGATATGGTTTTATAGCGCATAATCTTTCACCAATTCATTTTTTCAAAAAGAAATAATTAATTATACCAAAAACACAAACTTTTAGTTCATTTTTATATAAAGGTATCATCGGTGGATATAAAAAACTAAGACAACATAACAATTGTATAAGTCAAAAAATCAAAACTTCGGGTAAATTTGGTTTATTATAAAAAAAGTTTTAAAAGTTATGACATGTTGTCAAAAACATCAAGTTAGAAGTTCAAGTTCAAGTTCAATTTTTTAAAATGCTGTCTACATTACAAGAATTTTATAAAAAGCACAATAGCATCTCTTTATAGCTAGAGCTAAAGCTTCAAAGGTCATGTTCAGTTTGCTGACAACTTTTATTTTGAGTGACGATTTACAAGTTTTAAACACAATGAGCAAATTTCGAATGTTTTTTATATCCACTGATAGTAGGTGCATAATAAAAAACAAAAAAAATAATAAAAAACCATGTTCTCATCACTAATTAGATAAATGTTAATAAATCAGTTAAAGTCTCCCAGAAAAAGAGCTACAACAAATGTAACTCAAAATTTAAAATTTTCTCTTTATTAATAAACTAGGTTCTCACTAAAATCATTTTTCAACAATACCTAGATGTAAAATTGTCATTCATATAAATTGTTTCACATCCTTGTTCATAAATAAATACACGTGTTTTTATATTCACAAGAATAATTATCATGTATATGAGCTACTTTCTAGATGTAATTTGCAGTTTCAAAAAAGATAAATTTTGGTAATGTTAGGTTAATTTAATTTGTAAACAAAAAACACATTTTACACTTAAAAAATAACCAAAATTACCGACATAACGACAAAAATTGCTTCCATAAATTGTACATAAATGCAGTTACTACTTTTAATTAGATTCTAATGTTTCAGTTTCAACATTTTCACAGATTAATGATAGAATTTTTCAAACTTTGTCTTAAATAACAACTTTGTTGTAATTTAGAAATTTTTGAAAGTTTTGTACAATTTTTTTGTATGAAAAGCACTTTTGAAGCAATTTCTTTTATGCCAAAACAATTTTTAATTAAACAAAAATTTAATAAAACAAACAGACTGATATTTGTTGTTCTTTGTAAAAAATAATTAAAAGCAAACTCCAAATCAAGCTTTTTTATGTAAAAGCAAAAAATCAATTAACAAAATCCGAATGTTGTTAAAAATTTATTTTACTGTAAATGTATTTATTACAAAGTGTTTTTTCTTAAAATGTTCACTAAAGTATCTTATTTGCAACAGTAAACGTTCCATAAGATTTAAATAACAAAACACTCTTAAAAATTGAACAATTGAACAAAATGGAGCAATTCTACCATTTCTACTTAATCTAACTCAATTCAATTTAATATTTGAAAAAATAACAAGTAAATAAATAAATAAACTAAGGGTGGGTTTATAGAAGCCGAATTAAATATTTAATTGCAATTAAATTTAATTCATTACGTGAATGAATTTTGATGAACTACCAATCAGATTTCAGGATTTTGAAATTAATCACTTAATTGTGATTTAACTCACATTCTGTAAGTCCACCCTTAAAATTTCAAAGCATTGCCACACAAGAACAAAATATACACAAAAACAGTACAAATTTTTGTAGAAAGCTTTGCTGCTCTGTTTTTTTTTTTAATATGTTTTAAAAAACATTTGATTTAATTCCAAAAATTATGATTATATTATAAAAATCTAGTAAAAATTTAGAAAGTAAAAAAATGTTTGAAAGACGCCAAAAGCGTGCAACAGGTCCCAACATTGTCACCTACCGTTCATTATACGGCAGGTACCAAAGGGCGGTCTCTTTGTTGGTAATGACCCCCACTTTACACCCTGTTTAAAACCCACCCCTCAATTGTAAGCATGAATCAACATAAAATGGTCATTCACAAATTTTATTTCATTCATAAGTTTGTCTCGACAACACCACAATGGTCCCAAAATTTTTCGCACTTATAATATCACTGACAGTTTCAATCAACATTTCATCATGTTGGTCCACCACCATCAACAGTCTCTTCAAGTCCAAAACAATCCTCAAATTCAATGTAAGTCAATTTTTATTTTTTTAAACCTGGTTTTAATTTTTTTTAATAGCAGGGCCTAAATCCTGTCATCATTGAAAGTGTGGCCAATGGTGCCCAAATGGCGATGGACGAGTGCAGAAATGTCTTCAAATGGGACAGATGGAATTGTCCACAATCTTCATTCTCTCGACAAAACAATCAACTTGCAACCAAAGAAAAAGCGTACACGAATGCTATCATAACAGCAGGAATTATTTACTCAATCACTCGGGATTGTTCCCAAGGTGTGATCAAAGGTTGCGGTTGTAACTCCAATTTACGACAAAACCTCTACCAAGGAACACACTTGACGAATCTCGAACGGGATTGGACCTGGGGCGGATGTTCCGACGATTCAAGTTTTGGTGAAGAACTCGTGTTGAAGCTACTTGAAGATAATGAAGAAAGCAGCGATGCTCAAGCTTTCGTTAGTCGGCACAATAACAGAATTGGACGTGAGGTAATTAAAATTTGATTTTTTTCTATTTTCTATTTAATTTTTTGCTTAAACGGATAATTTCTGCAACTCGTATTTTAAATTGCAGATAATTAGAGAAAAAATGTTGAAAACTTGCAAGTGTCACGGAGTTTCCGGGAGTTGCTCCTTCCAAACGTGCTGGATGCAGATGCCCTCATTCCCGGAAATAGCTAAACAACTCCGGGAACGTTACGACAAAGCCATCATGATCAGTTTTGAGAAAATTCAAGGAGCTCTCACTTTAGGCAACTCGGCCAGACACATGCCGCTGGAATCGGCTGGAGACGTGTTGCCAAATCTAGTCTATTTGGAAAAATCACCGGAATTTTGTCTTAGTAATAACTCGACTGGTAAGTATTTTTTCTAATTGTTTTTTAGTTTTATTATTATTTTTTGGGATTAGGTTGGCCTGGGACTAAAGGAAGGACCTGTTCAAGGACTAGTTCTGCATCTACAACAATCGCGGAGAAGAAAAGTTGTCGAAATTTGTGCCGGTCTTGTGGATACCGAGTGAGAAAACAGGAGAAAAAAATTACGAAAAGGTGTAATTGTAAATTTATATGGTGTTGTGAAGTCGAATGCGATGTTTGTGTTGAATATGTTGATGAATTTACATGTCATTAGTTTAAGGTTGTTTAGAATTGTAAGTTGTTATGTGATATAATTTAAAAAATAAGTATAATAAACTTTTTTATTTGAAACTTTAGTGTTTTAATAGATATCTACCTGCTTATTTCCTTAATATCTTCAAAGAGACGGTTTATTAACGATTTTTTATTAATAAAGTGTAAGGAGATCTTATAAACAGTTTCTGTATCCCAGCAAAAGAAACTTAAATTGTGAACATTATAAAATAATCCAGTATTTTACTGTGTTAGTTGTCATCAATGTTTTCCTTTATTGTTAACTAATCTTAATTTTATTAACACATACAGGATGCGCCAGAACTCGCGCCCCAGAAAAAAATGGCATATAATGTAAGATTCTAGGAACATGGGAAAAATGTTATAACATTTTTTCAAAAATAATAATTTTATCATTCTGCTTCTATTTTTTTTTCTCCATTGCTCTTTAATTTTATTATAAAACACAGGGTGTCTCAAAGCTCCGTATTTCTTCAATTACTCTGACAGTAGAAAAAATTACAAAATGCGTTTCTTTTGGACGATAGACTTTAATGTTTTCTATGGTCCAAAAATATTTTCGTCATTATAGGTGATTCCTTAGATAGGGTGGCGCAACAAAGTTATATTTTTTCTTATATTATGTGCTTATTTGAAAGAGCTTTCAATTCTAAGTAATTCCATATTAAGTTATATGTATCTATCATGGACCGATTATCATTTATGGGCAATTTTATGAAAAAAAAGTGCAATTTTTGTAAAATCGGAGCGGTTTTGCTAGAAAGAAAAAGTAAATAAAAACAATTGCAACAATTTTTACTGAGTCTGGTCCTAAATTATTATGGTTGAAATTTAATCAATCTGTTGCAACGCCTATAGAGTGTTGACATTCGCAAAATATCAAGTAACTTGATTTTTTAAAATAAACACCCTGTACGTTATTACTTTATCGTGTAGAGCTTTTAATAAGCTTTCTAAAAAACATAGGGTTTTGAGGTTTAAACTATAGTGTTCGAAAGCAAGAAAATATTGGTTTAGTTGATGAGTTGGCATAAAATTGCTAAAAATAATGTTAATACCTCTAATAAACTAAACTAACTAAATAGGTAGTACTTTTTATTTCTATTAAAACAATCGAAAAAATTCAATAACGATTTTCAAACAAATAAATTTTTCTATTCTTAGCTTTAGAGATCATTACTCCTACAATTTTTGATATTATATTGTGCATAATTTATTCTTTTGTTCGCCACTGACGGTAAGTGTACTATTACACTAAGTACTTGGTACTTGTGGTAAGTACCATGGAATGGAAATTCAAAATACGTCAAAAATATAATGTTTTTAACATCAAACAATAACATTTTTTGTCAAAAAATCACATTTCTTTGATTATTTTTATAAAGTGCAAAAAGGCAAAATGGGAGATGGAAATTTTGAATCAAATTGTTGAATTTTTCACTAAACAAAACTTTAGTATAATATTATATTTATTTTAAAATGATATTAGGAAGTACAGTGTCTGTTTTTCAAAGTTTCATAAGGAATATATGTAAGATCATCAGTAATCCAAGGAAAATAAGGATAAATATTTGTGAAAATCAATGGACAAGCGATAAAGACTAACATTTAAATGACCAAAACCACTAAATTGTCTTTTATATGTTTGATGTCAAAAATCACGTTTTTATAGAGTGGTTTAGGTTTTCCATTCTACATAGGTACGTGGATTAAGATCAATGGACATGACTGAAATAAGTACCAAAGGTAATAAAAAGTACTACTTACTTACATACTTACCATTGAAATTGACCTTTTTTAAGTTTGAATCCCTTTACATTATTCATGTTTTGATATTTAAAGCTTAATAATGGACTTTTCCTTGTATACCTTGTTTAATAGACTTGAAAAAGTATACCTAATTTACCGTACTACTTTAAAACCTGTAATAAAACACTAAATAAGTTGCACCTCTTATTCCTATTAAAAGAATCAATAAAAACACAATACAATGTTTTTAAAACAATGAACAAATATTTTTTATTTTCGATTTTATAGAAATTGCTTTTGATCATTAACATTTTTGATACTCTTTTGTATATAAAACGATCTCAACGCGTTCTTTTGTTTGCCACTACTACACTATTAACTACTACTTTTTGGTACTTGTGGTAAGTACTTATTTCAGTCATGACTAAATCCACATATGTTGAAAGAGAATTCTAAACCAGTCAAAAAAAATATGTTTTTATTTATCATTAATCATATAAAAGACGACAAAAGTTAACTATTATCTCGGTTTTTACTAAAAATCACATTTCTTTGATCACTTCATAAAGTGGAAAATGAGAAACGGAAATGTGGAATTAAATTGTAGAGTGTTACTATCAAAGCAAACTCTAGTTTAATATTATACCAGGTGAATAAAAAGTATGGAACCAAACGTTTTTAGCTTAAACTATTTATTTTTTGAAAAAAACTAATTGATGAGTGATAAAGTACTATAAAAATGCGATGATTTAACAAGAATAAAATTTTTCGAAATTTTCTTTTGTTTTTGAGTTGTACAAAAAAAATATTTTTTTAAATGGCAACCCACTATAAAATAATTTTTTTCATAAAAGCTATACTCTAAGGATTACAACTATCTGCTTTATATTTAATTTTTTCAAAAAAAATTTTTCACATATGTTACAATTTTGACAAAAAAAATCGCATAACTCAAAAACAAAACAAAATTTCAATTAGTTAATTTATATTAATTATTATTTTCTGGGGGCAAATGATTAAAAATAAAACCGCTTGGTTCCATACTTTATATTCACCCTGTATATTTATTTTACAATGTTAATAAGAAATTTTTGTAATTTCGGAAATTCAACGAAGATAAGGCCAAATCTGTGTGAAAATCAACGGATGACGATGTTGTTGGTCACAACATTGTTGATGTTCAGATGTTGCAGAAAGAATGTTGAATATTCCAATTATTCCTCTGTCAGAATGGTCTTGAAAGTGACTGTATAAAGGAGCACTAGAATTTAATTCAAACAAGTCTACTTTTTCATTAATAGGAAAAGTACAAATTTGAAAATCTTCATCCAAATCCCAACAGAATCCAATTCCGGAAATTTAATTTTACATTCAGACATTCGATTAATAGTAACATTTAAATGACGAAGACGAATTGATTCTGGTGGGTAGAAACTAGTACTTAAAGACTTGGCAACAGTTACAGCTCCTTTCATTTCGGGGTAGTATTATTCTTGCTTCTTCCATTTTTTTATTACTAATAGTAGGTATTAATACGTTTTCCTCTAATACGAAGCATACCAATATCATGTTTTCCAGTTTCTTTATCATATTTAGGATAAATTATAGCTTCCGTATTGATGTAACGTTCAACACTTACTTCATCCATTGGAGTTTTGGCAATAATTTAATTCAAATTACTGCAAAAATCAAGTTAGCAATAAATAAAAACAGCATTTTAACTATTTACTCTTCTTTAAGAAGACAAAAAGTTGATGTGTAAGAAAGCATCAGTCCCAGACATGATTTTAACCACTAAATCGTCTTTTATATGTTTAATGTAAAAAATCTCATTATCAATTTCGGCATATTTGGGGTTTCCATTCAACATACGATTTACAAAACACTGGGACATGACTGAAATAAGTAGATACCACGAGTAATGGAAAGTATTACTTATTAATATACTTACCGTCAGTGACAAGCAAAAAAATAAGCAAGCACTAAAATTAGCCATTTTTGAAAGATTTTAAACTCAACTCAAGTTTGAATCCTTTTATATACCTACGATGCAGTACCAAAAATTTTAATAAGCGAAAACAATTGTTATAAAAAAATTATTTGTTCATTGTTTTTTGAAAATTATTATTGTATCACTTAATGATAAGAATAAAAAATACTAACAAATCAGCGTTTGATTATGGTTTATTGTCTTTTTATTGCACTTCATAAATTTTTACTGTGTGAACTTTTATAAAAATGAAATGAAATGAAATGTGAAATTTAATAAAAATGAGCGATTAGGAGACTTTCTTATAAGATTTATAGTTTTTATTTTTTTTTTACTTTTATCACCAAAACCAAAATCAAAAAAAAAACTACAGAGTTGTTCGATGATTATTTTAATTACTTCAATTTTAATATAAAAATATCCGCAAACGTCAGAAAATGACGCATTTATAACTAATTGACACAAGTCACAAGTACAAGTTTTACCTTTCAGACATGGGGTAAAAACACTGTTTTTTTCGCCTAAGCGTATAGTATTAATTACAATTAACTATTAATTAATATTATAAAATTATATATACAGGGTGTGCCAGAACTCGCGCCCCAGAAAAAAATGCCATATAAGGTAAGATACCAGGAACATGAAAAAAAATGTTGAAAAAATTTTATCTATAAAAATTTCGAAGTTATAAAGTTTGCACTTTGACTCTATTTATTTCTGTTGGAAAAATAATTTTCCAAGTTTTTTTGCTATAGGCTATTAAAAGAGAAAACAAGGAAGCTGTTTGCTCCTATAGATAGGCTGGCTTGTGGCCTTATTCGTCGGAACAAAATTACGAAGGACCACGTGGTTTAGATCAAGTAATTCATTGGATATCAAACAATAATTACAACACGAAGTTAAAGCCAAAATTAATCGCAAATGGAGACGGTACTGTGCCTTGGTTCCGGTTGCTGGCGGAGAGTCGAAAGGCTGGGGACGGTCAGGTTTCTATGCCCGGTGGGGAGTCGAAGGTCGATGGTAGTTGGAGGATGATGACGACGAAGATATTCTAACAACAAGCTTCCAAACGACGCTACACAGTTGTTTTACCACGAAGATGGTTCTAACAATACGAAGATGATTCTAACAACACGAAGATGATTCTACTAACACGAAGATGATTCTAACAACAAGCTTGCGTAAATACGCTACCCAGTTGTTGTTACAACAAAAAAACTGCTTGACGACAACGACGACGACTCTCTTGATTTTCCAACTTGACAACGACTTGACAACGGTTGTTATGACGACAACTTGGCAACGGGTGTCATGACGGCACGAAACATACCGCGTCATGACGGCACGAAACATACCGCCCACCAAAATGACGTTTACAAAACGGTATTTTCAAATAATACCACAAATTGAAGTTTAAGACAAAACGAAAAAAAAAACTAACAAAGAACAAGTGAAATCCTATCTAAGGCAATGGACAAATTTTTACAAGGGGTCGTTTAATTGAACCCGATAACGTACGAATAGTAGCTACGTGCACGTGACCGTCCGGACCCGAATGAATTGATTCAATGCGTCCCATCTTCCATTGCAAAGGAGGGGACAGTTCGTCCTTTAAGAGGACCAAAGAGCCTATGTCCACCAAAGACAGAGGTGCAACTGCCCATTTTCTGCGCTGGTACAGGGTGTGTAAGTACTCATTGTGCCAGCGTTTCCAAAACTCTTGTTGCATCCGTTGCACTAATTGCCATCGCGACAAATTAGAAATTTTCAAATGTGATAAATCTGGGTTCGGAGGGGCAGTCAGAGGTTCAAGAGTTAAAAAATGACCGGGTGTTAATGACCGCAAATTATTCGGATCATTGTTCAACGGGCACAGTGGTCGAGAATTTAACAAAGCTTCAGTTTGAACCACGAGAGTATACAACTGCTCAAACATTAAAACTTGCGATCCAACAACTCGATCAATATGCGTTTTAACCGATTTGATGCCGCTCTCCCATAAGCCCCCAAAGTGGGGCGCAGAGGGCGGATTAAACGACCACTGGATAGACTGACTGTTCACGGCAAATCGCATGAGACGACAAAGTTCCCGATTGGCACCCACGAAGTTGGTACCATTATCGCTAAATGTACGATCACATCTACCGCGACGAGCAATAAATCGGCGTAAACCGGCGATGAATGCATCCGTTGAAAGATCGGAGACGATCTCCACGTGGCAAAACAAACAAAAAGACATAAATAAGATTTGAGGAGCTTGGCACCTCTCACCCGAGACGCAGTAATGGTGAAAGGACCACCAAAGTCTACCCCAACACAACTAAACGGTTTAACTTTCGAAACTCTACTAAGAGGAAGATCACCCACTGGAGGGTTTAAAGGTCTCGGTTTGGTGCGGAAGCATCGATAGCACTTTGACAAACAATGACGAACAGTTCGACGAGCAGACAATATCCAAAAATTTTGTTCAAGTAAAAAAATTGTGGTGTTTATTCCAGGATGACAATTTTTATTGTGGACTTGTTGAATTGACAATTCCGTAAGCCGATGATGGCGAGGTAGCAAAGCCGGATGCTTGGCCGAGAAAGCTAGGTCGGAAAGAGAGAGACGACCACCGACGCGAATAATGTTTTCCTCATCAAGAAACGGTGAAAGTTTCTGAAGAGGTTTGGAACATTTAGTCCCCTGACTCAAACTAGAAATCGGTTGTGCAAAAATCTTGCTTTGAACCACTTTGACAATATGCATAAGAGCATTGTGGAGTTCAGTCTCCAAAAGAGGACCAGAACGCTTGTCCAACGAACGACAATTATACTTAAAGCGGAAACAATAAGCGACGATACCCTGTATTTTCAACCCATGAGGGCTCTACGACAGCGACAAGAACGGTTGTTCTTTCCTCCAAATCAATGGTAGGGGTAGGGGGAGGAAAAGGGGCTGCAACTTGAAGCACAGGCCATTGATCTGTGGGACAGGAGAGCCATTCGGGACCCGTCCACCAAAGGGAGCAGGACAAAACCTGGCCAGGAAGGAGACCACGAGAAGCTGGATCAGCAGAATTGTCCTGCGATCTCACATGATGGAGAAACACGTTCCTGAATGTGCGTAACACGATTAGACACAAATGTACGCCATTTATGAGATGAACAAATCCAAGTGAGAGCAAGCGACGAATCACTCCAGGCAAAAACACCATCAATACGAATAACATTTTGACATGTTGTAACGAAGTTACTAGAAATAGCCCCCGAGGGTACGCAACCAACCGTACAAGCCGTGTCCCTCCGAAACCGACCTGCCTCTACCCGGTAAAAGAACATCTCAAACCGACCCGACTATACCTGCAGGTGCCCCACCAAAACCGACTCGCGCACCTGCAGTCGGACAGGCTATAAAACCCCGCCGAAAAGGCGAAGAGAGTCAGTTGTTGACACCGAGCCGCCGAAGATAAAGAGTGACTAAGTGACCAAGTGACTAAGTGACCAAGTGACTAAGTGAAAGTGACCAGAAGTGAAAAGTGTCGGAAGTGAGAGTGACCGGAAGGCAAGTCCCCACACCCCGCCGTACCCCCTTTTCCCGTTTACCTGCGGTGGTGACTTAACGGGCAGTCCCCGTACCCCTTTCGTCCTAACAGGCAGAGGGGCGCCGGGATATCCGCTTCCCCAACTTCCGTTTTCCCGCGGGCGTGTTCTCACAGGCAGCCTCCGTATCCTCTCGTCTTAACGGGCGGAAGGACGCAGAGGGCACCGCAACTTCCGAGTCCCCCCCCCCCCCACTGACTGCTTCCGCAATCTAAAGGTGATCTGCCGGACCCGCTTGTAATACCGCTTATAAAACCGCTTGTATTAGATAACCGCACCGCTTGCATAACACGCTTACGCGCTTTCGCTTGTCAATTCCCCTCCCCCCGTAGCTTATAGTTAAATAAATTATTTATTTAATCCGGTTCTTATTCACCCCTTGCTTCCCCCCTGACATCGACCCCTGGAAGAACCGTCTCCATTGAGCCACCCGTAGGAGCCGCCGCCAGGAGGTGCACCCCCCTCACAAAACCGAGTGCTGGCGCCCGAGATACATCGCCCCAAGGAAGAAACGTCACAATGTCTTTTGAACAAAAACAATTAAATTTGACAATAACAACGCTGCACATAATTCCAAACGAGGAATCGAAATGACCTTTAGAGGCGCTACTCTAGATTTGGCGATAACAAAATTCACACAAATGTGACCCACCGAATCAACACACCGAAAGTACACTACTGCGGCATACCCAAATTGTGAAGCATCACAGAAGCCATGAAGTTCACATGTAACCATTGCCCTTGGTACCACATGTCGAGGCACATTAAGTGAATTTAATAGTGGAAGTTCCGATTTGTATTGATCCCATTGACATCGAAGATCCGAAGGGAGAGTGTCATCTCAGTCCAAACCCAAAGACCACAGTTGTTGAATGAGTCGTTTGGCAAACAATGTCAATGGAGCTAAAAACCCCAAAATGTCATAGATTTTGGCGATTTCCGCTAATATTGAGCGTTTTGTGCAGGATGATTCTATAACTTTGACTGTAAAGGAAAAACAATCAGATACAGAACCCCACTGAAGACCAAGAATTTTAACAGCGGGTTTAGAATCTCCCAGCGTGAGATCTTTTGACAGTGTTACAAAGGAAAATTTTTCAATAAATCAGGATGATTGCTCGACCATTTCCGAAGCTCAAAACAACCAACCTTCAACAACTGTATCAATTGATTCTGGAGTTTAAGGGCAGACTCGACAGAATCAGAAGAGCACGCGAAATCGTCAACACACAAACTGGATTTGATCGCTGAAGCTCCCAGGGGAAACGGTGTTTGACCTTCTTCAGCCAGTTGAAGCAAAGTCCGAATAGCCAAGTATGGAGCAGATAAAACACCATACGTTACAGTGTTGAGCTGATATGTTTGGATAGGATGTGAAGGCGAAGAACTCCACCGAATGAACTGATATTTACGATGATCAGGTTCAACCATTATTTGACGGTACATTTGTCTAACATCACACGTGAAAGCGATTGCACGAGACCGAAAACGAAGTAACATAGCGACAATGTCATCTTGCATTTCTTGACCGACAAGTAGAGAATCGTTTAACGACCGATTATTAGAGTCTTTGGCCGATGCGTCAAAAACTACGCGAATTTTTTTTGTTTCCATTTTCCTCTTTAACAACACCATGATGAGGAATAAAGTATGAATTTGAAGAAATTGTTTGATCTTGTTGCACAAGAGACATATGTCCCAAGTCGATGTACTCTTGCATAAAGTCTCCGTACAAAGCTCGAAGATCAGGTTTTCCGGACAGACGATGTTCGAGTGACAAAAACGACCATCAGCAATTCTAAGTGAATTTTGAAAGTTGGGTGGATGATCCCTTTTGAAGGGTAACGACACAACAAAACGTCCATTCACTTGGCGAGAATGAGAACGTTGAAATATAAACTCAGCCTTAAGATCTTCCGCAGACAAACTTCTCACCTCGGGTACACTTTCGAGCTCCCAAAATCTTCTAAGAGTGTCGTCCAAACGTGGTTCAAATGACGTGACAAACGAGTTAATTGGAGCGATTGGCAAACAAATTTGCTCGGAACAACCCGAAGATTGTTTCAATGGCCATTGGCTGACCAGCACCGTTTGATGTGACACCTGTTTGAGAGCAGGGTAGATATCGGCACCGAGAAGCATGTCGATGGGACCGGGTTTGTACCAATGGGGATCTGCAAGTTGTAAGGTCTGAAGATGTCTCCATTTCGAAGGGTTGACCTCAACATTGGGCAATGACGAACAAATATGAGGTATGGAGATAACATTTAATGTTAATGGACTGACCGAACTATTAATGGGACGAATTTTACAAATGGAAATTCCATTGGAGGCACCCGATGATGTATGACCCAAACCAAAGATAGGGGAAGAAACAGAAGTACAGGGTATCTTCAACGTTTTTCGACAATGATCCACGATGGATGAAGTCTGAGATCCCGGATCGCACAGGGCTCTTACCACTTGATATTTTCCATTATTGTCTTGGACCTCAACAAGTACCGTAGACAACAACATGGTAGTCACGGCACATGACGATGTTAATACTACGGAGGTGTTAGCACTTACAGCCCCTGGAACCGCCTTAGTTTCAGAATTCGATAAGTCAGAGTTAACGATAGAGGCATGAGTTTTTTCGAAATGAAGCAACGAATGATGTCTTTGCTGACACTCCTTACAAGTGGAGGACAAAAGACACGACGACGAAACGTGAGATGGGCGCAGGCAATTGAGACACAACTGAGCCTGTTTTGCAACAAGGTAACGATCTTTTGGCGACTTTGCCAAGAATGAAGGACAACGATAAATAGAATGTGCGAGCTTGCACAACCCACAAGACAATTGCTGTACCGATGTTGACAAAGGAGTCGACGAAGTCGAATTAAACGACGAAGAAAGAGAACAAGATGACGGCAACGAAACTTTATGAGTAGTTGCGACAAACGCAGATTTTGGAGCCGTATCAGAACGCGATTTTGACGAAGTGCCATGAGCTACCTTCGAATACCGAAATGTATTTGTAGTTGACGACACCTGCTGTGAAACAGCTATAGTTTCCAGTGCAACAACTTCCTGCTCCAAAAAAGTTTAATCTTCTCAAGAGACGGAATTTCAATAGACCGGAGTTGCAACTCAAATCGTTTTCGAGTTTCCTTTTCTAATTTTCCTAATATCAAATCTACGACGATGAAGTCCCAAAACTCGGTTGGGAAACCTAAACCTTTCAAAATGCAGAGATTTTCACAAAATGTGTCGACTAACCTCCGTAACTCTATAGGGTTTTCCGACTGTAGTGGAGGGTAGGACACCAAAGCATGCCAATGATTTGTCGCGAGAAGTCTCTTATTCGCGTACCGCTTGACCAATGTGTCATTAGCAACCGAATAATTGGAAGCGGTTAAAGGAATCGATTTTACTAAATTTAAAGGCTCGTCCGTGAGCGATAAAATGAGATATTGAAATTTCTCAATATTCGACAATTGCGATTGACTGTGAACCAAGCTGTCGAACAAATCAATAAAAGTTTGCCACGATTTAAAATCCCCAGAAATTTTGAAAAGTTCCAATTTTGGTAAGCGAACGTTGAGTTTTAACGCACTATTACACAAATCAACGGGCTTATCTTCGACTACCGGCTTTGAAAGTTCGGCCAACACTTCTAAAATTCCAAAATATTCGTCATTCACAATTTGTCGGATCTTAGTCTGTGTTTCTAGTTCTGATTGCGACATTCGTGAGATGACAGTTAAATGACATTTTTCAAATTCATTGTATCGCGATTCCAAAAATTTACTTCTCGTTTTTAACGCTGAAACCAAGGACGAAGACGAATTCTCCAAGACCTCTTGGCTTAGCTCAAATATTTTGTGAATATCTTCGATGGCCAATTTACGCGACATCAATTCGAGACTATTGTTAATTTTTGGACTCATTTTGATAACAATTCAACAAAGCAACAATGAGTTTTGGGTAATTAATTTACGAATGAAATTCAAAAATTTACCCAGTATCAGCGTCCAAAGAAATACACAGCTGCGACCGACAAATTCACAAAATCAAATCAAAAAAACAAAGCGCTCAACCTCGAACGGACGAACCAAGTGCGACAAAATCAAGCAATCTATTCACCCGATTATACGCGACAAACAAAATTTGCAATATGAAACCACAATAGGATTCAACAATGTTCTTTGTTTTTATCCAATAAATTGCAATCTCTAAACCACGACGAAATCAAACCGAAGAAGTGAACCACGACGAAATCAAACCGAAGAAGTGAAAAACTCAAAACTAAAAATACCGGTATTCGCAAGATTAAAAGATCCGGCTCGAAGGACCAAATGTTTGCTCTTATAGATAGGCCGGCTTGTGGCCTTATTCGTCGGAACAAAATTACGAAGGACTACGTGGTTTAGATCAAGTAATTTATTGGATATCAAACAATAATTACAACACGAAGTTAAAGCCAAAATTAAACGCAAATGGAGACGGTACTGTGCCTTGGTTCCGGTTGCTGGCGGAGAGTCGAAAGGCTGGGGACGGTCTGGTTTCTAT